TGTTCAGCCACTGCTCACCAGCACCCCCAGGTCCTTTCACGATGGGAAGATTTCCAGCCACTCTTCCCCAAGCCTGTGGCACTGCCTGGGGTGGTTGTGACTCAAGTACAGGACCTAGCACTTGGCCTTGTTGAACTTCATACAGTTTGCTGTAATTCATTGATCTTGACTGTTGCAGTAGAAATCTTGGGAAAAAATCTACAAAAAATCTTGCTACAAATCTATTTTTAATTAAAATCACCAATATAATGTATGGACCCAAGGACATCTGGTCTGGGGAAGGTACCGTGAGCGAGTTGTGATAATGAAATTCCCGTAGTGTCATTGAATTCCATGTCAACTTCAAATCACAAGATCAGCTGAGAAAACTGGAAAAAAATGTTGCTGGTACTTGATGAAGGATCAATCTACTTTTTTGCTATGAATTCACGTTTTTATGTATTAAATTTTCCCTCCCCTTCTGAGTCTTCTGCCACATTTCTTATCAGATGACCAGAGTTCACCTACAAGGGGTGAACTCTGTCTCAGTCAAGCTTCTCTGCATCAGCACCTTTATCAGCTCCTGTTTACTCAGTGTAACCTTTAGTATTCATCAGCAGTACTAAGAAGAAATGCATGAAATCCATCCTATCAGATTAGAGATTCTGCTAACTATGAAGATTGGAGTAGAGCTGAGAAATCCCTTTGAAATGATATTCCGTTTTTTGTTTTTTTTTTTTTTCTTTTTTTTATGTTGGGGTTTTTGTTTTGTTGTTTTTTGTATTTTTAAAAGCTCTTTAACAATGGAGCAGGGGCTACCTTTATATATATTTATTAACAGCATAAGAGATCCATTCAGTCATGCATAAACAACCAACATCCTAAAAGAGTGCAACAGAATGCACTCTTCCCATTTTGAACAACATAACTAATGCTCACTACTGCTCATGCTTTTCTATCTCCATTTTAATTCCTGCAGTCACATACTGTTCTGTGCTGTAAAAACAGTTCTGAACATGATGTGATTAACCTTAGGGTCCCCCCATCCCCTCATCTCAAAGCCCCCTCGTACATGGCCTGTGCTTTCTATTCATGTTCAACCATCTGATTTCCATATCATCTATTAGCATAACAGAGCTCTAGTGTGACATTGATTGAAGCCAGTGCTTGCTGAATGCAGTATCAAAGCATAATTTGCCAAAAATCAAATCTAATTTACTGTGTACTATTTAAATTTCTTTAAAAAAAAAAAAAAGAAGTTTCAGTAGAAGTATATTAGGTCTGTAATCTTTATTATTCTTTTTTTTTCCCATATTTTTGGCTAGTCTACCGGAATCCAAGCAATATATTTCATTTCAGAGCCACTGTCTTTGACTTTCAGATGTCAGTTAAGCAAGGGGTTTTCCACTCTGCTTCTTCCAATCCAGTTTGTGTTACATCTGAAATAGCAGAAAGTAATAATCTGATAGGTACAACACTCAGTTTGCTGCTGTTTTTTTCAACAGATTCTTTTAATGGTCTTAATGTTTAACTTGAATTAAGCATTAAAGTACCACGTAACTTTAACAGCTGAAGCATATCAAGCCTGCTGTTACTTCTCTAACTGTACATTTTTCAGAATGTTTTAGAAATTCACCTACTTTGAGAGCAGCAATAATGGCTTGAGTAAATTTTGCCCAGTGTTCCACTGAAGCTGCACTTTGAGCAAGTCATGATCTCACTTAACCCTTCTGCAGAATGGAAGTAATAATATTTGTCTGTCTTTATAAACAGCATCCATATGTGAACATAATGAGCTCTCTTTTAAGAAAATTGAAGAACCCAAGTGCTTGTTCTGTCAAAGAAGCCTTACTGTCTCTGAGCAGGGTCATGCTGCATTCTCTGAGGGTAATGACAGCCACAGTGTTTGGGTAGTTACATTTGACCAAGAATTGCTCCTGCAATTATTGACTGTTACTTTCAGTTTTCAAGTTCAACTAGAAATTGACAGATAAAATAATACTGTGAAAACATTGTTTAAATGCAGTAAAAAGGGGTATTTTTATCAGAGGCTGTCTGTGAACAGAGCTATAGCTGAATAGAGCAACAAACTATGACAAAATGAAGATTTCCTTCATTGTATAACTCCATCTTTGAATAATTTTTTAAAAAATGCCTGCAAAGTTTTATTTTTCAAGAATTATGTTTTTCATGTCCTTTAAAATTATGGTGCTAAAGTTTGGCTGAAGAAACTGGTTTTGTGCTCAGTTTAATGTGAGTAAAAGCTCTGATTCATTTATTTTTATAGTGAATTTCTAGTAATTAAGGCTGCAGAGCAAAGCTAGAAAATAAATTGTTGTATAACTATACATGATTGCTTGCTGGAGTCTTTAGAAAGCCTGACCTAGTAACTGTGAGGCCAGATATCTACTCATATAGTATGGTCAAATGGTGGAGAGGACTTGGTGTGTGGCAGGGAGAAGATAGAGCAACAGGGTCAATCCATGTCAGAGCTACAGATTTATTTTTCTGATCCTATTGGGGAAAAAAAAAAACAAAAAAACTTTTTTCTGCTTTTAGGAAAGTGAGAGATATTGAAAATTAGGGACTGGTCAAAAACTGGAAACTAGGTAGAAACCAGGGTGTGTATTTCTCATTGTTCCTGGACTACCAAATTATCTTAATTTTATCCTTGGAAGGTCTGGTAATTACCTTAATTTGATCCTTAGAAGGTCTGCTACAGTGACAAATTCAGTTGTGTTTTATCTGCTTAGTGCTCTGAATTACTGATCTACAGCAGAGACCTGTGTGTGTGAGAGTGTTCCAGATGAACCTTTAACCTTGCCTACCTTGCATTTACTCAGTTACATGTTTTGAAGGACAGGCTCATGGATATGCCATGCCCTTCTTGTTTCTGTTGAGCTTAGAGCAGTCTGTGAACCCCCCAGGGCAGTAGGCAAGCCTGAGAAATTAATTTAGCCATCCATCCTGCTTCGGATAGATCTATGGGATGGTCTCCTGGCATCAGGTTTTTAGGCACCATATAGGAAGATTGCGGTCTGAGGCCACCCACAGCACTGTACTGATTACTACACTGTCATTTCCTCGCACATGTGGGGGTTGCAGTTGGATATGCTGGGCGTAACAAGGTGAGGGAAAGCCAAGTAGCTCGCTGAAAGATTTGAGGAGTGGTATAGCATGAGTTCAGTTCCTAGAGTATGTTTAGCACCACGTTATAGAAACCTCAAAACACGTGGCCATAGGCAGCAGGAGGGCACCTCACCCGTCATAAGATTAACACCTCCTAAGGTGGAGGAAGAGGTGAACATTTCTCTCCAGAAAGGCCCAAACCTCTCTTTAGGAGAGTGAGGCAGAGGAAAATACCCTCTACTTTCTAAACTGATGAATGTTTATTAAGTGCTTTGCAGTTCCTGTTTTAAGAGTGCCCACACTACTCAACTGATACTCTTTAGACTCCTGCTGATCTGTAAAGCCTTGGGAAGTACCTCATGAGATAGCTGCAAAGTGTGTTTCAAGAGAATCAGGTCTGCTCACATTTCTATGCAGTTAGCAGGTTTGTGTCTGCTGTCAGCAGGTGTAATCGGAAGCTGGGTCTTGATTGCTCTTCGTGCCTAATTAAATAGTTTGTAATTATAATGCTGAAAATACGGTTTTCTAAAACACTTAAATTCTGTTTACCTGAAAGCTTAGTGTTCCTAAACCATCCCTTTGCACTCCCACAAAACCAATAGTGGAATAGAAGAAAACAAGGGTGGGGTGAGCAGTTTGAGTTTCTTTTTTACTTTTTTTTTCCCTTCTTTAGTTTGCCCCAAAAGTTAGCAAGTCCTTTGATAAGAATATTTAGAGATGCTGCTTGCATTTTTTAAATATGCAGAAGAGTACAAATCCCCTTTGAGTGAATTCCAGTGATGAACCAAGAGTGGAGGGTTTGCATGTCCCGCATAGAAAAATCATTTGCTTTACTTCTTCATCATGCTCAACATGGTTACTGATTTCAAGTTTTTTATCTCAAATCCTCTAACACTTCTTCCCTACTCTCTATTCATTAGTTTCTTTTCTCTGCCTTCACATTCCCAGTCATTGACTCTATTCTCCACCATTACCCTACAGAGAAGTCAAACTAAGCCCCTCTCTTAGAAATTGTTCACTTCGGACTCCACTTCCTGGTCCCCTATGACTGAACACTGTTAATGCCAGTTACTTGAAAACATTGAAAACATAGCCAGGCCTGTTTCTTCTTTCTTGTTTTAACCCCAGTCTCCTTTTTTATTTACCTTGTGTCTTCCTTACCTCCTGAAATACCTATTCCTTCTTACTCACCACTCATCTCTCTCCATCAGTTCTTCAACTTTTGCTTCTCTCTTCTCTTTAAACTAGCTGAAACCTGAATTTACCTGGTACCAAGTTTGTGTTCTTTTAGCAACCATTCTTTTTAGAGTGAGTCCTCCTCCCCTCACCATTCTTTACCATGCCTCTTGTAAGCAGAGTGAGGGAGCTCTTGAACTTGGGTTCTTTTGCTGTCATCCAGACCTTTCTCTCCTTTCTCAATCATTTTTAAAAGTCCAGAGGGGCAGATTGAGAAAGGCAGTCTGTTTATCCTAATTCGTACCTTGCAATCAATGCCTGATAGCTCTGTGAAGTGTGAGAGGATCTGAGGGTGCTGGTACCTTTCCAGAGCAAAGGTAGAATACATCCAGAGTCAGCAATATAAACACCTGACTCCTGCTCTTTAGCATTTAATGTCATCAGAATTGACTCTAGCATGTATGGTTGTAATGTTTCTTTCCTTTTTTAATTTTTTTTTTATAACTGGGGATGTCACATACATATATTGCTGCTCTCTTTGTCGCTGTTGTTGTTTCTGTTTATATATTAATTCTGTCTATACTAATGAATGTTTCTGGTGTCATGTCCTCTGACATAAAACAAATCTCCATAATGTTGTCTTTTTCCTTCAATATTCCCTTTCTCTCCCTTGCAAAATATCCTGAACTTACACCATGGTTTTCCTTACCTTGTAGCTCCCCCACAGTTTGTGGTGAGACCACGAGACCAGATTGTAGCCCAGGGTCGAACTGTGACTTTTCCTTGTGAAACTAAAGGAAATCCCCAGCCAGCTGTTTTCTGGCAAAAAGAAGGAAGTCAGGTAAGTTGCAAGCACCCTGTAAGTCTTTCAAGTCTTTATTAGTTATATTGTTAAATTTTAGGGAAAATTATTTATATTATCTTTCACAGTTTTCATCTTTCACAGAAATTCGTCTTTTATAGCTATCATTATTCCCTACTGAAATTTGTGTCACTTGTTTTTTAATATTTTGAAGAACACAAGGGCCATTTCAGTTACTGAGACCTGTGCTAAGCACTGTATAGATGAGTAGAAAGAAACAGTATATATGTTAAAGGCTTTTTGTTCTGAAGCCCCCAACAAACAGGTGGTTGAGACAGGCACAGTAGATTAAAAAAAAAAGGTATGACTCAATTTTGAACTAATCAGAGCCAGTAATTACAGTTCACAACCTGTCTAGACATGATCAAGCAGAATGCATCCAGCAAGCTGATTTGCATTGGCATTTTCTCATAGGGCATACAGATACAGGTTTTGAACACACAGATGCTTTCTTCAGTAAAATTGTCTCAAGAAATTTCCAGATTTGTCTTTGGAAATATTTACCTGATCATCTTTGAAGGCAAAATTTGTGAGGCAGCAATTGGCACTGCCATCAGTCCACACTAACTTCTATAGCTTAGTATTTGAATGTGATGCCAGAACATTTCTTTACTGGAGACATTGTGTGTACCAGCTCAGGTAAAACATGAAATAAGAGCTGAACCACAGATCTCCTGCTCTGCCCCACCTGCTTCTGCTTCATCTTCTGAGGAGATCAGAAAACTGAGTTCAGAATGACAGGACCAGGCTGACAGCATTTTGTGCTCTGCTGTCTTGGTGGCTTACAAAGACATAACATTATTACTTTATGGGTGTGATTATTTTATTGTCTGAGTGCAAGCTTAACCTTCAGTGTGTATCTCAGTGTAATATTTAGAGAAATTTAGATCTAGCCTCCAAGGATCACATCCAGGAAAAACACGGTATTGTGTCTCACTAAGGTTACAGTTTTTCCAAGGGGAAGGTAGAATAGCATACTGAAATTCAAGTAGGAAGTACTGATGTGCTAGCAAACATTTCAAACCCCTTCCTTGTAGAGCATTTTAATAACATGGTAATGTTTATGTAAAGTGAGCTTATAGTGTCACACTTGAATCTAATAAAGTGGACATCCATCATGCTGTAATAAAGAGAAGAGCTTCTAATTAAAGTAGGACATCATTTTCAGGATTAAAGTCATTTAGCGTAATTGAAAAGTGTTAATACTCTATTTTATCCTCTTCCATTGGTATCACTTCAAGGGTAAAAACATTTTAAGGTGAAAATGCATCTTGTGTCTTTAATTGAAAGTTATTACCTACTGATTGTACTATGTTGAAGCTGCTTAATTACAAACCTGGAAAATTAATTACCATATTGAGAATCAGATCCCTGAGGGTTAGAATAGTCTTTTTTGGCAAAAATGCAACATAAAAATTGATACTTGCATGGTTTATAATCAAACCTTGAAACATAGCTCAATGTGGTTTACAGCATTCTCGTGTTAATCTTAATTGATCATCAATGAAGTAACACAGGTTGGGGTTGCCATCTCAATGTATAACTTGGCAGATTTTGCAGTGAGATGCCACAGAGTGAGTTTCCACATAATGTATATCATCATAGCAGCGGAGAGTGGAATTTCTGCCAAATTACAGGACTTTTCACCTTTGCCTCCCAGCTATAAATTGTTGCTTGTCTCTACAAAGCTGTTTTTGCTTTTAGGGGAACTGTATGCAGCACCACTTGCAGTGTTCAATGTAATGTTATATAGTCATGTTATCCCACTCCAGTAATTGCAGGGCATTTCTGGTTGTGAATCCATTTCTCAATCCTGCGTTTTTGAGCACAACCAGCTGGAAGGGAGGGGAGCTGTTCCCTCCTGACTAATTTTTTGTGCCAGCTTGTGTATAAACAGCTGGTCCTTTGTGCTTGGTAGCCTTTTCCCCAGAGACCAACAGCCGCTCGCCGATGACATGTGCGAGGGCAGGGCGAGTTTAACCTTTTGACTCCGTGGATTAAATTCTTCCTTGAGATAAATTCAGTGGTACTGTATCAGGGATGGCTCTGGTCCCTCTGTTTGCAACCCAGCATGCCACCATTGTGCCCAGATGAGCAACCCCACAGCTAATTAAAACCTGTGAAATTGTGAAAAGCGTTTAAAAAGGAGTGGTACTGTAAGTTAGGAAAAGTTACAGTTCATAGTTATCTGGTCTTTGAAGGGAGGAGTTATGAGACTGGTGATGTGTGGAATATTCACTGGGACATGGTACCTTTCTAGAACAGCGAAGCCCATACTGAAGATAAAAGCAAGGACTGATTCCCCTTTCTAATGAAGTGATAAAGAGGATTCTGGACTCTTTCTCTTAAGAATTAGGAGCTTAATCCTTGCACTGTCTTTTACATTCAGCTACTTTTTACACTTTACATATGATAAATCAAGATCAGCCATGTCAAATTTCTCCTCTTTCTCGTAATATTTACTTAAGTTTTAATACCCTCATCCAGGTATCTTGTGCCAGGCAGAAGTTATTCTGTAAGTTTCAGGACAGTTCAGAAAACAGGGCAATTAATTGAGACCTGTTTAGTTCCGTGTTCTGAAATTGTTTCAGAATTTTAATGCTCTTTTTTTTTGCTGTTATCTGGCATGTTTACTGGGTGAATATTGATTTTTGAGGAAAAATTTGCTGTTATAAATTTCTTAAACATTGCTATTGAAAGGCAGTAAAAGAAAAGCCTAGTGTGATGAGTAACCCAGTAGGTTAATACAATTATAAGGATTCTTGGCATGTTGGATCTTATTTAAAGCATATCTCTTTCCTTTTGCTGCCAAAACCATAGAGATAAAGGCATGAGTTTCGCTTAAAAATATAATTTGTTTCTTATTTGAATTCTTACTTGTTTCTTAAGCAGTTTGTTGCTTATCAGTTCCAAATAATTTTTGTAAACCATCAAGGCCTATTTCAGAAGAAACAGATCTGCAGAAAATTTGTTTAATACCCTTCTCGGCACTTTCAAATTTTCTTTTTCTTTTTCTTTTTCTTTTTCTTTTTTTTTTTTCCCTTTCAATTGGGAAGTTTTTTTTTACTCCTAGCTTTTAGATTTTTCTTCTTTTTTTTCTTTTTTTTTTCTTTTTTTTTCTTTTTTCTTTTTAGAGTCATCATTAGAAAGCATAGCAGATCTAGAAAGAGCTGCAGTAATGACAGAAAGCTTGTCACAGCATGGTAGCAGTGTTTTGGGGTATTCCTGATGCAAACAACTGTATTTTTCATAGAGTCTTGTTGAGTTGACATAAAATCCAGACCCTATTTTACTGGAATTACAGTTGTTTAATTATTGTTTAAGCTGTTCACTTTTCTGTCTCATTGGGCAATGCTGCTGACCTTTCTCTTCACGTTGCCTTCCTTTTCCTGTTCTTATTTATTCACAAAAGCTATGCCAGAGGGTACAACTTTTTCCTTGAAAACACAGCTCTCACCACTAAAACCTTTTCGAGTCTGTAGTATTGATTCATTCAGTAGCTCATCATATGCAATGACTACTAGAGCCATTCCAGTTATTATTATTGACGTCTCTCTTTTCTCCAATCCAGCCCAAAGGCAAAAACTAATCTCTCTGTTTTGTGCTAACTGATATCTTATCCTACATGAAATTATTTTTTTCTCTCTGATGATTTCCACATCAGATTAATACCCCTTCTCTTCACCCTCCAGGCTCTATGCTGCATTTCTCCTTTATCACAGTTTTAATTTCCTTTTACTTCTCCTTTAAACTCTCATGATCTGCCAGCTTCTCCTACTTTATGACATGCTCCTGTCTTCCTCCCAGTTTTACTTAAGTGCTTACTTTCTTCTTTTCTCAGAACATTTTCACAGCCAAACAACAGTGCTCTGATCTAAGTCTCCAGGATTCAGTGCTAGTTTTCTAGTGTTTGCTGTAGTGTTATGTCCTTCTGGTTTGATAGCTGAGTATATTATTACAATTGCATTCAGGATGAAGACGAATGTGTCACAAATATAAATCGCTCGAGTGTGATTGTTGGAAAATGTCTCCTCGCCTACACCCCAGTCAGAACACAGCACTGTGAGCTGTCAAAAGGCTGTTTCTAATTTAGACTCTGAGTTGCCCAAGGCAGGGAAAGCAGCTCTATGTGTTCATAAAGTCAGAACTGCACTTACTTTTTCTCCTCGATTATTTATAGTACTTTTAAGGAAAAATCATTGTCTCTGTAGCTGAAGGAAAAGTGGTGCTTTTGTGCTTTGAATTGATGTGAGATGAATTGTCTTTGCAGAACCTACTCTTCCCAAACCAGCCTCTGCAGCCCAACAGCAGATACTCCGTGTCACCAACTGGGGACCTCACCATTACCAACATCCAGAGGTCTGATGCAGGCTACTACATTTGTCAAGCACTGACGGTTGCTGGAAGCATTTTAGCAAAGGCTCAGCTGGAGGTTACTGATGGTGAGCTGCTAGAAATTCCTATTGTTTTTTCTCCTGTCAAAAGTACTTTAAAAGCAGTGTAAATAAAGGCATATGAGATCACATAAATCGTACAAGTAAATGGACAATTTTCTATAGGAGATAAAGTGAGAAAATATCTCTGTATGTGTTTATGGAGTAAAAAAGGTATCAAAGTCTAGTTTGCCTCTTGCTTGCTTTCTGGAGGTTTGTTAACAATGGAAAAAAGGGACAAACTGGCTTAGAATAGGTTTGGTGAGAAATGAAGCTGTTTGGTTTGCTAAAGCTAAGATAGGACTACCAAAAAAAAAATAAAAAAAAAGAAACTGTGGAGAATTAATAGGTTTGTGATTAAAGCAGTGAACTGGGGTGCAAAAAAATGTATCTCCATTCCCACCAGTCTTCAGTCCTATCTTAGACAAGTAGATGGCTCAGATGTGTTCTTAGCTCAGATGTGTTCTTAGCACAGTTAAATCAACACAGTTGCTCTGAAAGTGGTGGAGTACTGTAGGTTTAGAATGCCTACAACATGTAGCCCATTAGTCCCTCTATGAATGAGGCACCTACCTCAAGCACCTACCTGTGTTCTAAGAATGCCTCAGTAGGGGTAGGTGTGAAAAAAGTAATGGAAATCCATAGGTAGAGAAGAGTTTTCAGGAACGGAAAATAATTACATGGTCTGTCTTGGTGCTTTTCATTTCAAATTATTGGGTTTGAAATTCATCCTGCTTTGAGGTTTCCCAACTACAAACATGAATCCTCTTCATATATCAGGAATCCTGTTGATATCCCTCTTCATCCTATTGTGGTTAGAAGGCAGTTTGCATCCTTTAATGTTAGTGAAGAAAACAAGAGAATCCCTCTTATACTCGGGGACAGTGGCATTCCCCAGCATCATTATTCCTTATCTTAACTGACACATTAAATATCTCCTGACAGACTTTGATGAATTTTTGCCATTAAAACTGTTGTTATATGCAGAGGTCTACTTTTACTGTTCCCTTAGAGACCTGCCTGCACCATGAAAGTTTGAAAAGATGTCTAATTTTGAATAATCTGCCTTTTCACAAGAGCTTATTCATCACAAGTGACAGTTAGAGAGGTTCAGGCTCGTGTTATAAAGGTTTGAGCATTAATTTGATGCCTCTTCTTTGTTTTCCAAAAGCTGCCTATATTTTTATGACAAGAGGAAATAATTTCTGCCTTATCCTTGCATGTCTTCAAGCACATTGCTTTTCTGCAGTTTCTGGAGACTAAACACTTGGCTTTGCTATGCAATCTCTTTAAGTCCTTTCTGTCATGGTCTATGACAAAATGATGCATTTTCATTCAATTCAAATTTAAATGTAGATTAAAAGGTCATTTAAAAGGAAAGGAAAGGCAATATTTTTTAATATCTGTCCATAGTGCTGCCTGATTCAGGGCCATGACTGTGATTGGAATAAAAAGAACACACAAACATTGACTGTGAGGACATTGAGCTATTAAATGGTCACACCTGCTGATGCTGCACAGATTTACAGCAACAGGCGCTGAGTGGATCAAATCAGGTTCAAGGATGCTAGTGATGAGAAATTCTTCCTTTTGACAGCCAAGGGCTCTGGTCCACCTTTATCTATTTCTTGTGTGGGGAAAAAAATAAATCCTAATTGATCTCTTTGGAATTTTCATTAGTTTGTTTAGCAAGCCAAGGGGAAGTGTCCCGGCTGAAACACCAGCTCATCTCCAGTTAATTCTGATTAAAGGCAGCATGCATTCCACATAGCTCCAGTGAGCATTAGCTGGTGGCTCTGCTGGTTAAGGAGTGCAGGGCCTGCCTTCCTCAAATGCTTTCCAGAACCCACTGTCAGCATGATCATTATGAAATAATACAAGATTGCTTTATAGAAATACCATTTCATCCTGGAGTCAAAGGGCAGGTGAGGTCAGAAGAAAAGTGCCAAAACAACATTGTGAAGCTGAGATTATGTGAATAAATGTACCATTAGATCACAGATATTTTTTTAATTGCTTTTAGTTAGGAAGTTAGCCATAAATGTCAAAATAATCTGTTTTGGTTGATGCTGAGCAGAAGTTATGAGAGCTAATGACTTTTATCAGTAGGGAAATCTAATTTAATAGTTTTAAGAATATAATAAAAGATAAATACTGTGCATGCTAGCTTTATGCTTAAGCATTAGTGTTCTAGTTTTTGGCTGGTTATTTCAGTTTTACTTCCTAGCCCAGAATTTTTCTGTTTGGTTAATGATTTAATAATAGTGGCGAGCCATCTTTTTCATTTTGAACACATTTTTGTTTGATCCAGAGTAATTTAGATCCAATTGAAGTTCCAATACAGAATGAAAACATGTCATGTGCAGAAAAACAAGTGCTTAATTATACCATATATAGCAGTGTTTCAGTTGTTACATTTTTGCACTTACAAGTCTTTACTGGAAATATTTTTAACTCAAGTGTTCACATGAGAAGAGATTACTAGCTGTGATGAAATGTGCTGAGTTGAGTGATAATTTTGCTGATTATGGACTGTGCTAAGAGCCTTCAGCATATTTGAAATTCAAATCTTGTATTTTCTTGAAAGGCTATCATGTAATTCACTGTCTAATGCACATCTGGAAAGGCAAAATCATTTTAAAAGTTGAAGAATCTTAGCAATCCTTTCAAACCCAAGAAATGAATATGCAGTTCACAATCTTAAAATGACAGATCATGCAAATAAACCAAGTGCTTCCATCTCTATTTATGCTCAACGTAAAAGGAATAGTTTCCAATTTGTATTTTGTTAGCATTTGTCGATCATGCACAGAATAGTTTGGAGATCTTAATTTCACCTCAATAGCTATTGAAATTGATTAATAAATGTTCTTACAGTTTATTTGTCTACAAATCTGACCACCATGATTCTTAGCCCTCATCCAAAGTATATTACATATTTTATAGCAAGTGTGACAGTTTCAAACAGGAGAAACTCAGAACAGCTTCACAGCTCCTGTGAAGCTCTTCTGTGAAAAAAAAAGACAGACAAGGGATTGGTCTCTGTTTGTCCACTTTTCAGAGAACCCTGCCCTATCATGAGTGCTCATCATGTGAATTTCCTTACTTAAGTCTGATTTTACCCGTTATTACACCAAGAAATTTTTTTTAAATTTTGATCCTGGAAGTGCCAAAGTGAAGACTTCATTTCATCTTTCTCGTATTTTAATTTCCATTGTAATTTGACCACATATCCCCCAAATTTAAATATGGTTTCAGTTGATCCAAACTGCATTTGTGGTGAATAAACTGTTCATTAACAAATATAATTTGTTCTTTTCCTATAACCTCTTCAAAAATTAAGATGCATTTTAACACAAAAGGAATTTTTTTCAGTTACCAGAATATGCAGATGTATAGATATTGGCAAACAGTTTCAAAACCATTTTTAAAATTCAAGTAATTTTGAAATCAACTTCTGTTTTGCCTTGCAAATATGTTTGTAGGCACACAGAATGTTTTTGTGAAACAGATATAGAAGTTTCCAGCTAGGAGAAAATTATATAAATAAAAAGAAACAAAGTAATTAAAATGTTTTAAAAGCAACTAACAAGCCCCACACCATTTTGTGGCTATTTTTCACTAGCCCTCTGTTCTTAATAATGCTTCTCATATATATATCATTTTAAACTCTAACCAAGTTTTGGATTCTTACTAATGAGGACCTAAGTAGTAGGAATGCAAGCATACACATGTTTTAGAGGAGATTTACAAGTCATAGTTGTGAAGACAATACAGCCGTTCACAGATCAGTGGAAACTCTTAAGTGTTCATTTAACCTTTAGCCCTTAGTGTCATGGAAACCTGTAGTGGTCTTTCACCCATAACACCCTTGAAAATGAAGATTCCTTCTGGCCAGGAGGCTTTCAATTACACTATTGATCAGAGCTATTTAAAGGATTAAGAGCTCCTCATTTGGGCTGTAAAAAAAATCTAATTACATGCCAAAGAACAATATCTGTAATGCAGTAGGTTTTGAAGATACCTACATTGCTACACGTATGAAAAACACTTAGATGAAGCAAATAACTGCAGTGGAATAGCTAGCAACTTAAACAGTTGCTCTTCCTTAATTTTTAACTGCCTAAAATAATGAGATTTGCTGGTTTACATTAAATCTAAAGGATAACTTGCACAACAAAGTTTAAATTTCAACATACTCATGCTGCAGTTACCTGATAGTATGTGTGAGCTGAGACCAACTTTTATTTTGCCAAGTGGCTGGACTATGTAGTAATAAGGAACCTTAATGAGATTAAACGTTTTGTATCAAGAAGAAAATGCATTACATTTTTCTTGTTATATAGGGTTTCCTGTCCTATCTCTTAAGTTCATTGGGTGATATTGCAGAATTTCCAAAATAGCTTTCACATTCTGGTGTTAAGAAATAATCTGCATTGGCCTTCCCTTTTCAGTTCAAAATAGGTATTGGCTCTCTATTTTCAGTTTCAATTTCAATGAATGTGATGAGCTCACACTCTAAGGTGTGATTCTTACAATGGTAATGATTCTGATCCTTGTGAATCTTGTTAAGCAAAAAAAGGTAGGTAGTATTTTTGCAACATTAAAATTTCAGAAACAATTATTTTAGGCATAAAATGTGCCACTAACATATCCCTGATATGTTTTATTTATTAAATAACATGATGACAGCACTTTGATCTGTTAAAGGTTCCAGAGGTTAGCATCTCCAAGTGCTCAAATACAACTGAAGCCATAGTGCTTCATAATAATTTGTTTTCACTTCATTGTTAGAGTCAGGTATTGTGTATGGACTATAATAAACAGATTTTCAGCTAGAATAAATGATTCAAACTCAATTGACATCAGCAGAGGCAGGCTAACTTACACCAGTTTAGAAATTAATCCTGCCTGCTACAATATTTAATACCAGACACATAATTATTCAGTTGTTCAAAATTTAAAACAGCAGCACTGTGGCTAGTCAATATATAAAAGTACATTAAAAGGAAAAATAATTTTCAGTTCTATTATGTATTCACATATTTCACATTCAGTTTGTATAAACACATTCTTCAGAAACAAAGGTTATATTTTGTTGTTTAACAGATGGCTCAGAGAAACGGTTCAGCAACAGAATTATTTGGGATAAAATCTTTCAAGAAAAATGAACATCAGCATTTTACCTCATCTTCAAGATATCCCACTGGTCACAGAATGAGGCTTATATGCAGCCATGCACTCTCTCACTGGTTGCAGGGTCCTTTATTCAGTATTGGAAGCATGTAGATGTAAATTATCAGGGAAAAAAATAGGAGTTCATGGCTTTAATAGGTGAAGAAATGATTTGATAAGTTAGCTGTTAAACGATGTGATTAAGTTTGAGCTTTTCTCTGCTGGAAAGAGCAGTACAGTCAGATCCCTCAGATTATGAAAATGTTTTGTATAATTGTTAGATATTTTTGCTGGTGAAAACTTGTGAATAGGGTAGGAATGGGAGATGTACCTGGTACTCAGGCTAGAAGAGCTGTAGTATTTCACTCTTAAGAGATTTTCTTTTTTAGACCATAAATTGGGTAAGCAGTTAAACATGTTTTGACGTGACATCAAAAGTGTGTTTTAAGTGCTTTCCTAAATTGGAAGAAAAGAGTGATGCCCTTCAATTCTCTGAATCGAGGTCTTCATTTTCATCCTATGTTAACCAAATGAGCCTGATGATCTTTGCTAACAGATATTTTTCTATCTACGTGTTATCTTGCAGTGGGGAAATAAAACTCTTACTGAAACGCTTTTCAAATATGCCAACTAAGTGATAACCTCTATCTGTGGCTCCTCCAAAAATAATGTTTTTAGCCTCTTAGATGCTGACTTGAAGCAGCTTCTTAAAACTTACCCTGCATAGTGGAGCAGGGCTCACAGCAGCTGCAGAGCATGGTTAGAGGTGTGGATGCCAATGCCTGTGCCACTCTTTTAGTCTTGACAGATCGGCCTCCGCCCATCATCCTCCAGGGCCCCGTCAACCAGACCCTGGCCGTGGATGGCACAGCTCTGCTCAAGTGCAAGGCCACCGGTGACCCCCTCCCCGTCATCAGCTGGCTCAAGGAAGGGTTCACCTTCCTGGGCCGGGACCCTCGCACATCCATCCAGGACCAGGGCACGCTGCAGATCAAAGCTCTGCGGGTGAGTAAGCGAGGCACACGGGTTCTGCACGGCCCCTCTGGAGCTCCTGCCACATTCCAGTTCTCTTCAAAATTAACTTGTCTTTTCTACTGTGCAGTTCTCACCAAGTCGTTATCCATTCTTTGCCCGTTGTGTAGGGAAGAGGAGCAGAACTGACTTCAGCTATTTCCATGAGAATTCCCTAAAAACAGAATTGATATTTAAAATTGTATGTATGTTGCAATAGAACACGTGAGTTGGGGGTAGGTAGAAATATAAAAGAACAGTCCTTCCTTATCTTTTCAGCTGGTCTTACCCTGAAGCCATTGGCCTCTCTGTCAAAACTTAGAGCAGTTCCTTGGCAACACCTGACCATAATTTTCCAAGTACTTGTGCTAGCACGTGATCTGGAGCTCATCAGGGTTTGACCATGTGCTTTCTCCATCAACAACTCGTCAGTCCCAAGCTGGCTGATTTATTCCAGTGTTATGCTTCCTGGAAATGTTCCACCAGACTGCAAATGGGAAAAGACAGCTAATACTGTAGCATACATGCAGTCATAAGCAGAGGGATTTCTATTAAAAATTAAATACCTATTTTAATATTTACATTTTTGCACATGAGATAATACAATATTCTATAATACTTCAAATAGAATGATGTCATATGTTTTTGGTAAGTATTGCATCACTAATCTGTTTTTTGGCTTTTAATTTTTCCCTGTTCAAAGATAAACACGTGTGTTTGTGTGTATTTGGACAAGCATGCGTATGGAAAAATAATAAATATACTTACTTGTCAAGAACTTGAAGATAATTTCAGAAGCCATTTAATTTAGTCAACAGAAATGTCTGCACTTAATTTTGCCATCCAAAAAAATGTCAATAAACATAGTACTAAAGGCAAGAAATAAAGAGCAGTTTTGTTTTCTGATACTGTCTCATCATAGTGAACACAGATGAATTGTGAACTTCCTTGGAAGAAAATAGAATTTATTAAAAAATTTATGCTAGCTTGCCTTGAGTAAACAATTTGTCGTTCCTCCCTGGGCTGAAGGCAGGTTTAGGCCATGAAGGTTAATGCATTTTTCCTGTTGAGCTGGATTAAAGAGTGCGCTTGAATAGTCAAGATTCCCCAGTCGTGTTAGAAAGCAGCAATTAAAGGTGGAAGCTTAGTGATTTCAAACAAACTTTCAGGCATTGATGATGGGCTTCTGTGGAGTGTCCACGAGGCAGAAGCTCTTGGGATACCTGTCTGCATGCTGCTATGCAAACAATGAAATTGGTTCTGAATCGTGCCAGCGCATTAATCTCACTGTTAGAGGCTGTGGCTGTAAACTAAAGGAAAATAAAATTGCTTGCAAGAGGAGAAGAAAACAGAATTAGTAGTGAGTATGGTTCTGAAAGACATGAGGCTTTTATTGATCCTTAAGTGGCTTATTCGCTAGTAACCAATTTTCCTTAAAGGCTCAGAAAGGTATTTTTTAGAAACGCCTCTACAGCAGTAATGTGCCCTGCTTGTTTCACTAAGAACAAAACCACAGAACCATAAACACAACTGTGCCTAGCAAATTTTATGAATGAAACATGGATTTAAATGAGGAATGTTTAACTTTTCTCTCAGGTTTACCTAAACAAGGACTAGCACCACTTGCTAAAGAAAATAAGGACCTCAAAAATGTCCAAGTTTATTTCCATCCCCAAGTTCAAAATAAATTAATAATTGCCACTCACATGTCCTCAGCCTTCTGGCTGAGGATAGATTTAGATTAGGTATCAGGAAGAAATCTTCTCTGTGAGGGTGGTGAGGCAGGGGAACAGGTTTCCCAGAGAATTTGTGGATTCCCCATCCCTGTTCAAGGCCAGGTTGGATGGGACTCTGAGAAATCTGGTTTAGTTGGATGGAACTTTGAGCAACCATGGCAGGGGAGGTTGGAATGAGAGGATCCTTAAGGTCCCTTCCAGCACAAACCATTCTCTGATCCTTTTCTGCTATTTCTGTGACAGCACAATCAAATGATTCATGAGCTGCAACAGTCGCATGGGCCACAGTCATAACGTGAACATAGAGATTTTTCTGATCAGCCAATCTCCCAGTTGCTCTGAGGAAGACAACTGAAAACTCACATGTGTCACTCATTCAACACCCCTTCAGACAGGCTGACACTGATGGAAAACTCCCTTCTTTTGTAGAAATGTGCCACACCAGAATTAGACACCTGCATTAATTAAGGAACAAAACTTTATTTTATTGAATAGTGAAGATTTTTCTATTCACCTCTCCTGTTGTTTTGTTGGGTTTTTTTCCCATAGTACAAAAAAAAGTATAAATAATTGAATTACCAGCACACTAAATCTGTATCTAATCCATCTGCAACCTGGAAGTTAGATAATTTGCCATAGCTTGCAAGAAGCAGTGTACCTCCAGCTTGCTTTGTATGTTGTTTGCCTTCTGCAAGTTACTCTGTTTTGTTCTCCACATACCTCATTGAGTATGCCGTGCACCATCTGTCACAGTAGTACACAAATGAAGTTGAGAACCATAGCCTTGAGAAATATTCCCCATTATCACATAATGAAGAATTATATATTTAATAAAATCTCCGAGGAAGCGAAATAAAACACTGCTTCGGAATGTTATAAGGCTCTCTCCTCTGGAAAATCTCTCCTTTTAAGAGTCTTTCTCATTTCAGTAGCAGCTTTATTTTGAGTCTTTGAGCCATTGTCAGAGGGGTTTTCATTATTGCTTGTGTTTCACACAAATAACCATCTCCTGAAATGCAAGTTATGCTCATTCAGAAAATTGAGCTGGCATTAATGAGTTGCTTCCTCCCCTAAGAATGGTACACTGGAGTCTCAGTGTGTCTGAAGGAAAATAGCAGCAAAATTCTTACTTGACAAAGCTAAAAATCAATTAAAGTATATATTTACAGGTAATCTAAAGAACATCTCACTTTTTTGCCATGACATTCGTCCTGAAGAGTGACATGTAAGGACATATGCTGCCGTGCCAATCTGCATTTAACAGAAAACCCATTACAATTCCTTAAAGTCCAATAAACCTTCTTGGATGCAGTTCTTTTTACATCAACTCATGTGATGGTGAATAAAATTATTCTTAACCACTAGAGTCAGCACTCTCCCTTTTCTGCTTCCAGCTCCAGATTACCATGCTTTATGCCTCATGGAAGGAGAGGCATATTTTGTGCTTTGTAAAGTTACCATTTTTCTTCCATCCCTGTAGTCTTCACTTGTTCCTGACTCAGAAATCTGTATTTTAAGTTTAAGCAGGAAATAGGAAAACCCTTGGCAAATTTTCTAGGAAAACAGTTTATACAGTGATGAAATTAATATTGGCATTCTAATTCAAAGCAGTTTCCCCAAATAAATTTAAAATATTTGAACTGACAAGGGAATCACAATAGTTTTATACAAATGCAAGTTTTTTTGCTACCAAAGGGCCTTGCAAACCAGAAATAAAATCCCATCTGAAATGGAAGAAAGGTAAGCATGGTGTAGGATCTAATTTAATGCTGCTCTTTTGAAATTGCTTGGAGGAATGTCTATGTAGAGAGAGCCGCTCTTAAGCTTCAGCAGCATTTGTATGTGGGGTGTTTTGAAATTACTTCATCTGTCACAAGAGTCTAAGGTGATGCAACGTCCTTCCTGGCACTGGAAACAGGACCTCTGGGTCCTCATGGGATAATGAATGCTGTGATTTTACTCACTAAGAGGTTAATTGTTGTTATATTGTTACCTGATTTCACCAGCATTTGTTATAACCAATGCAAACGCTACACTGTCAGTGCTTCATTCTGGAGCATTTACAGTACTCGTACCATTAACAATACGAAAATTTGAATTAGTCAAGTATTAGAAGCAAGTAATCTTATTATAGTTCTCTAAGGGCAAGCCACCATTAAATGATTGTTTGAAAATGTCTGGTGCCTTCTAGTCTGGTGTGAAATGTAGGCTAAGTCCTTCTTAGCAGGGAGCATTTAGAAAAAGAAAATAAGAGTAAACTCAGCTGATTCTAAAAGGTTGTTAACTCTGCCCTTATGCCCCTTTTATGTCCAGCTGTCTGATACTGGGACTTACACTTGCGTTGCTACAAGTTCCAGTGGGGAGACATCCTGGAGTGCAGTGCTGGAGGTGACAGGTAAGAGATGCCAGGGATGTGTTCCACTTGTCACACCAGCAAAGTGTAGACCTTATGACAAGCAGTCTGAGTCAAATAATTCTAGAACTTCTGGGCTTGACATGGAGGAGTTTTGCATGGGAAGGCTGTGTTCCTTCACACACCTTGCCTTTCATTGCTGTTGTCTTGTAATGCCCATTGACATCACAACCATGTTCATATTTGTGTCAGTGACTGCAGTTTGCTTTAATTCTTCTAACAAGAGTATTAATAAAATATGGATTTATCCAGTAATTGTCTTAGGCAAGAAAGTTCATAGTGCTCTGCACAAGCAGTTGATTTGGATACAGGATCTTTCTCAGCAATGGAATTTTTTAGTATTTTATGTACATTTCAGCAAGCTGGGCTATTTTCTTATTCTTTCTTTTCTTTTTTAAAAATATATTTATATGTAAACTTTTGAGTTTTGCATTTTATTTCTTTCATTATGTACTTAAAGACTGATAGCTCTTCATCCAAAAACACATGGTAGTAATGCAATTGTTGACTTAGTTCTTTTTAGATTAAGAACATCCGTTATGCTGATTTTGCAGATGTTTGCCATGTTTCTCATTTTAATCTTCTGCTTTGATCAAATTATATAACCAAGGATAAAAACTAATTGTTTTGTATTTGCCCTTCACAGAATCCGGTGGAGCAACAGTCAGTAAAAATTATGATATAAATGACCTCCCTGGGCCACCATCCAAACCTCAGGTCACTGATGTTACCAAGAACAGTGTCACCCTGTCCTGGCAGCCAGGGACCCCTGGAAGCCTACCAGCTAGTGCATATATCATTGAGGCTTTTAGGTATGTGAATTATACCACTTCTAAGCTCCTTTCTTTCTAATTTTGCTTAAACCCTGGTAGCAGGGTTTTGTGGTGTTCTTTTGGACTCTGCATATATCATTAGAAGCTCATTAAATGACTCAACTGCATAGAAGGCATTGATTCATATTCTTTACATTGATTTTTTTGTAATTTATCACTTTTGTCTAAGTGATTAATTGAAGGACATCTAAGTATTTCTTCATGTCAACAGAAATATAACAGAACAATACAGTAATTATTTGTCACTTTTCCCTTTACATTGATGATCCGTGAGAGTCTCCTATGGGAATGCTGCAAGTTCTTGGCTATCATAGTACAGATAATATGGAAAAAAATTAGTAATCCTGAAGCTTCTCTGCAAACTTTAATTCCTGCTCTTGTTCAAGCAGTAACTATTAAGGAGTCAAAGTGCTTTAAATTTCTATATTTTAGTGTTTTAGATAGATGAAAACTTCTAACTGAAAAGACCAGTATTGATAATTCAGGATTTTATGCTGCAGCCTGAAGCTGTAAAGAATCCAGGTGCTCCCCTCCACACAGCAGAAATTAATGTGTGGTATGAAAGACATCCTGGGCTACAATTCAGCAAATCTGTTTGAGCACGGGCCATACTCTGACACAGATCTCTAGAACACATTTCAGCTTAAAAATCTGCACCTTCCTAAATGTGTTCCAGATATTAAAAAAAGGACAAATACTTCAGTTCATCTCTAAGTTAAAATTAATGCAAGGATTTTTCATAATCATATGCATGCAAATTTTATCTCAAATGTAATATGTGTAAAGGGCAGTACGATATTTGCAGTTTGTTGGTTTTATTCTAGAACTTACTCTTTTCTAGAACTTACTCTTTATGCACTGTATGAATAAAGCAATTCAAACAACATAAACCTGTTAACATTCCATTTACTTTTTCCTTTTAATATATTTAAAGATTTTTTTTTATCAATGCAATACAGCAAAGCATAGTAAAATAAAATTTTCTCTTTAAACTCAGATGTTTCACCCTAGATAAGCTTTAATGGGATCCCATAAATAACTTTTTAAAAAGCCAGACATTTTCATTAAAAGCTATTTTAACAATCATATTTGAAATCTTTTCGTATGGTGGATTGTAATCTAATTATAATAATGGTGAATTGAAAATGCAGTGACAGAAAAAATATTCATATACTTTCCTCCATTTCAAAGCTTTTTTTCTTCTTTTTTTAACTTTGAGTGTGAATTTAGTTCAAGAATACTTTTCTTCCAATGACAGTTTATTGACGTAGTTTACTTAGCAGTGTAGAAAATTATTCTTTCAAGAGAGAACTTTCCTTTCTAAGGCTTTTGTTCAAGAGTAGCCTGCTTATCATTCAAATTTACTTTACAGCTTTCTACTCTTTCCTTTTGCAGGTATTTTAGAAAAACAGCAAAAAGTTTTACTTTTATTGCAAAGAGAAATACCTTTGACAGCTGCATTAAGGTTTTTAGCCCATCTCAATGAGCTAACTGAAACAAATATTTTTAATTTCACCCCTTTTTTACTACTTTTTTCTGCACTTAGAATGGATCCAAGGTTACAAAATATGTCCTTTCACATCTTTATTTTTCTCCTATATTAGTTTATAACCTTCCACACTGTTCTCGTTGCAGTCAGTCTGTGAGCAACAGCTGGCAGACAGTGGCCAACCACGTGAAGAGCACCCTGTACACCGTGAGGGGCCTGCGCCCCAACACCATCTACCTGTTCATGGTCAGAGCCATCAACTCACAGGGCCTGAGCGACCCCAGCCCCATGTCAGACCCTGTCCGGACCCAAGGTAAGGGCCACTTCCAAGGCTGGAGCTGAAATGGGAAGAAGGAGCTGTGCATTGGCCGTAGGTCAGTCTGGCCGTTCTGCTTTACACACTCACTGAAGCAATCCTGACTTGAGCTTAGCCAATAAAGATGAAAGTAGCCCAATGTTTGCTGTGTCAGTGTGGGGCTTGGGAGAGAAAGGTTACATCCTTAATCCTTTGTACAGTGCAGAGCTTTTGGTTTGCAGTTCACTTAGACTTGAATTGTCCCTGGTTTCTATTGAAAGCAATGTGAGTTACCCAAGCTTTTCTGAAAAGCACTCTGAGTACCCTCCTCTCCTCTTTCCTCTCCATGTCTTTTCTTCCTCTCCATCAGTAGGGATATACTATCCCTACTATACTAACAAATATACTTGTATATACTTATTATACTAGAAGTATAGTATATAGTATTCGTAGTATATACTACTATATATTTATCCCTACTATACTAAAAAGTGTTTATAACAGGCAGGACACTGTTTTTAGAATTAGTTTTACTCAAAAGAAGTACACAACATGTGTTGAGCCAATGTTTAGGCTAAGAATTCATGTAAATTAAGGCATCTGCATGCTAAGAATATATAGAAGTTATTCTGAGAAAATTATGGGCCTTCTATATATATATACCTACATTTTTGAATTCTTTGTATTAATCCATTGCATAAACTAAGAGAGAGGGCTGAAGTGGAATCCCTCATTTGTAAGGTGGTGGTAGGATTGGTAGCTGTGATGCTCCATTGCTACTGAAGTCTGTTCACTTTGCATCAAGCTCTAACTGAATATAATTACCACAAACAGATTTCCCTTCACAGCATGGATTTTTTTTTTTTTTTTGGCTTTGACAAGACATTGCTTGAATACTTAATTCAAGAGTGCAGTTCTGCATTAAACACGTCATAATACAGAAATCCTTTGGAATCATATTTTTTCAAATCCAAAGTAATAGCTCCTGTCACAGTTAATTTAAAATTAAATCCTCTGTCTCTGTTTATTGTTATTCAGAGACTTCTGTCTCTGAAGAGCTGAAGGTGCCCATGGAGAGCACATCCTGAGTCAATCTCTAGGATGTGTGTTGTAAGTTGTTTGGGTCCTTTACTGGATGGAAAGAGATAAACAAGAGTAGGGTGGTATTTCTTTATCACATAAGCATCTAGCCTCCCTCATCTCAGACTAGTCCTGGATAAATCTGTCCTGAATAGTTGCACCCTCAAAACAGTAATTATGGCTGGAAGAGGGACAACAAAACTGCCTTCTCAAAAGCTGAAGAGTGAGTTGTGCAGGGATTTCATGGCCTGACTATCCATGGAGTATCACAAGCTTCCTTCTTTCTTATTTTCCCATTATTATAGGGTGACTCATGCTTTTCATTGCAACAGCATTTTAGTCTGCATAGCTTATCACCTAGGTAAAAAAAACCCCAACTTTGTTTGGCATTTGAGTGTCAAGTATAGACTTTTTATCTGACATAGTGACAAGCAATTTGATTTCAGTAAAAACATGTCTTTTAATTAGCTCCAGCATGTGTTGCTGCTTCCATTTCCAGAAGCTGTTTAGCACTCAAGCACACTGAGACATGTACAGGATTTATAGCTTCTTTGCAAGCCTGCAGTTTAATAGAATTAAATCATAAAATCAATTGAAAATTAACATAATGTTTTGATGTGATTTCTAATTATGCCTGAATTTAATTCAGGCTCACAGAAGACGCTGACACACGGTGGAAAGCCTATTCACAGTGGCCATGGAGAAATAACAAAGCGGCTATAGCACTGCTGTATAATAATAATTTGCAACAGGTGTCTTTGGTAACTTCAATAGCTGAACATTTAATGTCCTGGTGTTCACTATAGTAAATACAAGTAATAAGATTTCAAGAACATTTTCACCAGTGAACTGCAAATAGATAATCAGGTGCTTTCAAAAGGTTTACCTTATATGCATTATGTGAAAAAAGGACAGACAAATCAGTAACTACTCTAATGAAGGATTATTAATAGATGAAACCATTTACTAAAAAAAATCTTCCAAAAAACTATATATATTCCTATCCCTGATATCTAAATAATAACAAATAATAATAAATTCACTGAAAACTGATAAAAGAGGCATTAGAGAAAATATCTAACCAATTTAGTTGTGATCAGGATGTAGCTTCTTGCACCAGTTTTGTTTGAATCATGATTCCATTATTCCAATATTTAATCATACCCTTAGAGGCAGATCAGCTGCTTTTCCACCAGGAGCTTCCTAGACTTTTCACTGGGAGCATTACACATGTTTTCAAGTGTACATACCAGAAAACTGAATTCCACATGTACATCTTGACATTCACTTCTTACTGTTATTAGTCCATGTTATTCTGTTACTTCTGGACATATGTGCCATTAAAATGATGAAATGTTGTTCACACAAATTACTTTGTGGAAATGTCTTTTCCTCTGAGAGAATACACAGGTACTTTGTTGACTGTATACCACAGCATAACGTAACCTAAAATGTAGCCATGGATAACTGCAGGTTTATTGTACCAACAATCATGGCTTTTTGTGGATAGAAGCATAAATGATCATCCTCGAGACCAGTCTGAATTGCAGTTTTATTTTATGATATCTCTGTTTCTTGGCTGCTTCAGATAAACATTATTTGCTAGACAACCACCTTCACTGATGCTCTTATTTGGATTATATTCCCTTTGGAGATCCATGGAGCCGTTTTAACTTGGATATCAATAGAAGCCTGTGTCAATATTATTTACTGCTAACTCAGAACCCATAACAATCCAGAATTATGAATGTGAATTACTGATCATCAGAAACTACTTTCTTTCAATATCTGGGGGTATATGATTAAAGTTGTTATATTTAAAGGTTTCATTCTTAGGACAACTGTTAATTCTTTCAAATAGCATTTAGAAGATAAAAAGAAAACATATTATGCCTATTCCCATATCTAAGTCCATCAGAAAGGAAAAAAATCTCTTATGTATGTATCTTTTTCACAAGGATATGATGTTGATCCAAAAAATGAGGAACTGTCATTGACTATTGAATCCTAAGGGAAAATCAAGCAGAATTCAGAGATGCCTAGACAGGCATGACCATCGTTTATCAGTCCTTTTTTTAATATCTCTATAATCAGATTTTAACTAGAAGAAGCAATTTACCCACACACTTTGAAGGGCACATAATCTTGAAGAGAAAATTTTTGTGGTAGATTGTTTTTGTTGGCCTTTTACTAGATGAGAATCAGTTTGGCTTCCTAAATTAAATCTTCTTTTTTTCATGTTTGCACTAGATTTCATTAGCTATGTCTGTTAAGAGAAAATTTGCTTTGCAGGGGAAAATGCTATTTTTAGTATTTGGTTTCTTGTGTGCATGGCATGTGGGGAGAGGAAGCTTAGTGAAAGTTTGGAAACATATAATGACTTAATGTCATGTGTGCTCTAGCAAAATAAAAAAACACTGTTCATTTTCTTCAATTATACTAACAAATTTGGTTCCAGACATCTGTGCAGCATTATTATTATCTGAGTACTTTGGAACTAGAGAACATTGCATCTCTCTCATCATTTACCAGAGCTGAGAAAACTTTGCCATCTAGTCAGAATACTCCTTTGAACATATTTATATTCCATGATTTCCTAAGTGGCTAGAGGTGGATGGTTTCTTTGCATTATTTGATATTTGTTTGTGTTTCACCCTTAGTGCTGTATTTTTTAAAAAACCACGCTGTAAAAGATGTTCAAAATCAGGTCATTAGGCTACTCAGTAAATTTTATTGATGCCATACATAGCTCTTCTCGTTAAAGTAACACTTTCATATGTGTGCCTGGCAGATATCAGCCCCCCAGCACAAGGTGTGGATCACAGGCAAGTCCAGAAAGAGCTGGGAGATGTCATTGTACGGCTGCACAATCCTGTTGTGCTGACACCCACGACTGTGCAAGTCACCTGGACGGTAAAGCTTCTGCTGTTGTTACCTTAACAGTACTTTCACTCTGCCTATTTTGCCTGTTTATCCCTTCAGTGTTTTACCACTCAGAAAAGATCCAGTCCTGACCCCAATGTGAGTGCTCTGGCAATCCAACATACAGCAGTGTTTGTGTGTGTATATATATGTATATATCTATACCTAGATCTAGATGTAGGTGTAGATATAGATAGGCATATAGATATAGATAGATATGGATATATATATAGATATGTGTGGCAATGAAATAGTCCTTTTCAAGTCAAGCAGATTCAATGTCTTCAGTCTTCTGCATGAAGCAAGTTAGCTATCTGACTAGAAAAACATTATAAAAATGAGTGTGCTTGAAGGATAATGGATCTGTGGATTCATTACACTACATTTCAAGAAATAATCAAAGTTAAATATCAACAAGAAATTGCTGTGTGAAAAAGTACATTCTGCTTTAAGTCGTAGTGACCTCTGACAATACCCTATTATTTAGTGACCCAGAAATCAAAAATATCTTTCCTACAGAGCACTTTTAGTTAAGTCAGAAGCACGTGGTTCTAGTGCCTGACACACTGTGTATGATCTGGTTTTCCAGCACAAGCCTTACCCACAATGAGTGGATATCCTTTCATTAGAGAAGACCAGAGTCTTTTGGGCAGTGCTTAACAACATTTCTATTTGAGGGGTCAAACTACTGGGTAGAATTTCTAATATAGTACTTGGCTTTCAAATTGCCCTGTTTCCCTTCCTGAGGCTTGATGGGAAGGATTTGTAAGAGTAGGAGAGAATTCCCAGGGTGCTGCACACCAGAAAAGGGTGCTTTGTTCTTGGGGCATCTGCCCAGAGGAAGGAGAGCCGTGAGTGGAAGAGTGAGAGAAAAACTGCCCTGCATAACATCAAAACAGTTGTGTTCTGTAGGAAGAATTCTGCTAAGGGGGCATTCACGATGCTCAGGGTTTTTCTTCTATGTGTAATATTGCTAAGAGCTTAATCTGTGCAGAGGATTACACAAGAGGAGATAAGAAGTGTGGTGATAGATTGTGTATTATAAGGATTACTTGTTGTTTTTGCACAACTCACATTTCAGTGGTCAGTGTACAGATTAGAATAAATAGAGAAACCCACAAATTTGTCTTTCATGGAAGATTATTTACAGTATGTGTCACTGCATTTTGCCATCAATGATGTCAACATGCAGCTTGGCTTTCTTAAAATGCTGCATGTTTCAGCTACAATTCCTCCAGAACAGGCTGACTAACCTTTGTGGGAAACCCTTTTGTCCAAGCAGATGGATCAGATGTAGAAACTTTGGATGCTACCAGAGAATAATTGTAAACCTGGATCATATCCATGTCTTCTTTTGGGTATGACATCTATCAGAAATACAGATTCATAAGCTGGCTCTTGCTTTAGCATATACTGCAAAAGGAAGCTCCAGTACAAACAGAATTCAGTTTATACCATGCAACCAATGTAATTAAATTTCATTTATTTATTTATATATATATGTATATTCATTTGTGTGTGCATATGCATGTGTGTGATATAAATTCCTCTAAAAGAATTTCCTGGTGCCCCTACTGAACAATAAGTGAAGAAATGGTAATGTAAAGACAAATTGTTGGAAATGCTATGGATACCAGCTTATTGGGAAGATCCCTCAAAGCAGTGACCCTGTGCCACCTGACAAGCACAGAGACCTCTGTAGAGGCATTTTGGAATTGCCCAGGGGAAGAAAGACACAAAGAAAGATCTCTGAAGCAGCTAATTAGAAACTATCCAGCAACCAGAACAAAACCAATTAATTAACCATAGTCTCCAGGAAAAAAACCCACTCTATCCAGAGAATAAAGTCCACACTATTAACATGAAATGGATAGATAGTGTAGCTATCATACAAAAGGACAAAAGTGCCATGAGAATCATAAGACTCTTTGTGTTGGCTTTATGCAGTTCCAAGGGTGAAAGCAAAGGAATGTCCTTGGTTACTGACTTTCTGGAATCCTGACTCACAGCAAATTAACACCACTTTCTTCTCTCCTTTATGAGATTGTTTTGGTTTTGCTTTCTCTTTATTTTTTTTCAAATTTTAGTTTAAATTTTCGGAAATAGTTCCCTGTGACTGTGTTGAAATTTTAAAATATGCACATACATATACACACATATTTTGAAAAGAAGGTCAGACTTACAATGTCAGTGTTAAAAAATAAGAAGAGGAATGTCAAAAGTTAGGTTTTCATTGCCACTTAAATTTATTCCTCTTGTGTATAGATATTAAAATATAGCTGTAATTATCTGGTCACATAGAGGATCTCTTCTTCATGGAGCTATTAAACATTTCTTTTTATCTTCTTTATTCTCTGTGTGGTGCCAGGTCTTATTAAATTCATACCATTGAAACCTTGCATTGAATAAAAAATTATTATTTTGTCTCACATGCTTGCTTATCTGTCATGCTCTCAACCGTAACATTCATGTGCTTCACAAATAATACTGAATTTAACATCACAATGATAAAAATGTGTCATTATCCTAACTTTACACATAGAGAGGTGAGGTGCAGAGGTAGTTATTGCTGATGAGACTTACGGAGGCAGATACACCCACTGTTATCAAATAGCTAATTTTAAGCCCTGGACATGATTTATTTTTACTTTTATTAAAACATTTCACATTGAAAGAGCATATTCTGTACTCCAAGAGCTTTTTTTAGCTGACCTCAGCTATGGATCAGCACTTCTAGGCTCAGTGGGCATTAAACTGAAAGTTTCATTAGTGACCAAATATGAAATGTTCCCCGGCATTATAAAGAAGCCCTGTGGCACAAGAAGAAATAAAAAAATCAGTTCTTCAGCATGGCAAAAGAATTGCTGCTTTGAAGTCCTCACTGCTTTCTAGGAGACTACCAGGCAGTAGGATAATTTGTTTACCTGTGCTCTTTAATTTGATGTAGATTTTAAATGAATGTACTTCACTGGAAGCTTCAGGAGTCAAGTCCTTTGGAGAGTCTTCCAGATTCTCATCTCCATTTCCCTTGTTCCTGTAGGACACATAAATGCTAGTGCAGTTTGAATTTCCAGAGACTCCTGTGAGTCCATGCCAGGGAGCTCAGGATAGCGTGCAAGCTACTCTGCCCAGCTGGAGAATTGCTGTGGGTATTGCTGGGGGAGCAGAGGATTTCTTAGGATATTTTGGGATAGAAACTTGCATGCTACAGAGCATATTGCAAAATGTATTTAGGGTGCAGATTAGCAGGTTTGCCTGAAAGGAGCTTATATCTGCAACATAAGCTGCATTATGAGTTTCTTGCCATCATTTTAACAACCTAACAGCCATTGAACCCGTCTGGTGTTCAGCTGTGGCATGTGCAGGGAAAATGAGCTTCCTGTTCTGCAGAAATGGTTTTGTAGATGACTCCTGCACCATGGACTCAGCATAAAAGGGGGTGAGCAGGAGCACACAGGACCAATTCTGCTTGTAGGTTGCATTAGGTCAGTGCTGAGCACCAGCTCCCCAGGAACTGCCCTCTCCTGCAGTCTTAAAGGAGCATCTGTGTGTTCTGCCCTGTCCTTTGAGGGAGCAAGTGTGTCTTTATATCAGCAACTGTTGCAGATCTTTGGAGTTGATATGACCGACTAGAAATATTCTCTGATGCCAATATTCAACACAGAGAATTCCTGCAGTTGCTGAAGTAACGCTGAGTAATTTGTGTAAGGAAGTGGCAACCATTTACATTCTTTATCCTTTCATCAAGCCAGAGTGCATGTTTCTGCAGCTCTGCCTATGTGTGAATGTGTGCCAAACTTGGAGTTGCATAGCTGAATTAATGTCCTTAATGATAAGCATATAAGGATATTTTTAGTAGTCTGCTCGTGGCGTGATACATCACTACCACAGAAACGGAGAAAATTGTAAAGTCACAGTCACTTTGTGTTATATATGACCATGTGTACAACTATAGATAGACATACACATATGCATGCACATGTGTGTGTATGTACATGTGAAATATACCTGTCCTACCCCTCACAAATATTTCTTGTTAATCCATGTAATTATCCAAGAGTAATTTTTTATTAGATTTAAAACTCTGAACAAAACAAAAAAATCCACTTTTCTCAGTAAATAAAGTGCCCTCCAAGTAGTTTCCCAACAGAAGGCCCTGTTCATTCAGACTAGCTTAAATTGGGCATGAGAGATAGCGTTGTATCCTCTCCTTGATACTGAATGTGACTGGATGTTTATAGAAAACATTAAAAATGCATAATATTTTCTTAAGTCAGTACCCTCCCAGACTCTGAATGATGAAATCACTGTCAGTAATCTGGTATTTGGGCAGATCACTCTGCCCTGCTGTAATCAAGCTACTAATTGAAAACTCTGTGAAACTCAAGCGAGCCCCAAATCAAGGTAGTTTATAGCACCCATAAATGTGACAGCCTTGTGGTACTACTGCATTCTGCTTTCATATTCCTTCTATTGTTTAGTCTTTCAAGTTAAGATTTTAGAAGTCTGGGAGGAAAAGATGTGTGTGGCAGTAGATACAAAAGTATGATGAACTGAAAATTGGTATTCTTTAGATATTATCCAGCTCTTCTCAGTGAGTTGGGGGGTGGGTTTATGTTTGTGCCATGCTGTAGAATATACTTTCCATACGGTGTTGTAGCAACACAATGCTACTGTTTAGTCAAGTCAATTCTGAATTTTCAGTTTTCTCCACTAGGCAGCAGTCAGTAGAAAATAGAAATAGAGCAAAGACAAAATGGAAAGTTCTGACAAAGTTAGGTCATCTTTCAGTGTAGTGTCTTAACTCAGCAGTAAGACAAGAATCAAACTCAGTGTTTGATTATTAAACATCATAACCTTATATTGTAATTTAGGTTAAATGTGTGTATTACAAAGTGGATGAAAGCATTATTTTTGCTGAATATTGTAGTAAACGTGAGGTTTATAAAGTCTTTATATCCATAAAACATTTAGTTAATCAAAGTCAAACATGGATAAAAACAGTTTACTCTGATTTACAGACTCCCTTCATCTGGAAACAGCTGCTTAATGTTCTTCTTAAAAACACAGCTTGATTCTTTCGGTATTAACAAGCTATTATTGTGAGTTATATCCCTCTTTCAGTGCATAAATTCACTTAAAGTGAATGCAGAGAAGTTTATAAAATGCAAGCTTAATGTTGTTGTAACATATGTTGCAAGGTTTTTAACAGTGACAGTTTTGATGAAAGACGTTTCTGCCTTGCTTTCATAAATAAAGCTTTCTTCTTGCTTGCCTTGCTTTTTAATGTCTAAGAATCTGTGTCCCCTCTGAATGCCTCAATAAACTGTAACAAGATTATAGGTGGAGCGTAATAGAGCATGGTTTGTGTTTTCAGCCTTAAATTCATTTATTCTTAAGAGAAGTCAAACAAATGTTTCTCTAATTCTAGAATATCTTTGAGCAGGCAAATTGACAAGAACATAAGAAATATCCTACTTGTTGAATCTTAGTTAGAACACAGAATTACCAAACAGCCAGCTGTATAGTCTTGTTATTTGTGCTTCACTTTCTTTGCTCCTTATTTGGCAGCTAGAGAAGCAGCTGGGCTTGGTTTGCTTTTAGCAATCAAATCAGATTTGGTTTTTTGGTGTTTTTTTCCAGGAAAAATTTGTGCAAGAATTATGATGCCTTGGTTTTTGGGTTTTTTTTTTTTGGAAGATAAATAGATGCATGCAACCTCTCCGAGATAAAACACATATAAAGTTTTTCTTCAAATAAAAATCCTATTTGTAGGATAAAATTATTCCTTGGTCTTTCCGTGGAACTTAAAAATTTCCATGGTCCAATCTTGAATTCTGCTTGCCTAGCAAAAAGTAAAATATAAACCAAAACCAACATTCCATCTCCATCTGATGGCCTGAGAGCATCACAACCCCAGGATGCAAAGGGGCTGCTCAGGCTGTGAACACAAGAAACAGCACATGTCTTTGGAAGTTGTTTTCTCTGCATCTGTCTTATGTTTATTTTAATTTGCTGTGCATTTCATGAGCTGTGAGCCAAGTAATGGACTAATTGTAAGCAAGTAGGGTAGCTTCAAAGACTTGTCCTTTTCTGAAAAGAATTTGTTTTTCTTTTCTTCTCCTATTTCAGCACATCAGTAGCCAAGATGTGCTTAGTAAGTTTACATGCAGCAAGCCTTATGCCAAAGTTTTCTTTTCATTATTTATTGCAGGGATGGGGGCCTTTTTTTATGATTTAAGGTGGTATTTGTCATGATATATAGAGCTGGAGAAAGCAAATCAGAAAAAAATATTCTATAACCAGTAATGTGAGACAAATTCTCTTTGTAGACAATTAATAAACAGTGACTTAAGAGAAGGCAGTTAGATTTTTAAATTCAGCATCATAACTGGATTTTCTCTTTTTGATGAAGGCAGACAGTTTTGTTTTTGCACAGTTGGGGTTTTTGTGTGTTTACTGTGTTTATTGACGTATTTATTATTTATTGTCATTTCTAGGTGGACCGCCAGTCGCAGTTTATCCAGGGCTACCGAGTCCTGTATCGCCAAACCTCTGGCCTGCCTGCCCCAGCTGTGTGGCAGAACCTGGAGGTCAAAGTCCCCACGGAGCGCAGCGCCGTCCTGGTCAGCCTGAAAAAGGGCGTCACTTATGAAATTAAGGTTCGCCCTTATTTCAATGAATTCCAAGGGATGGACAGTGAATCCAAGTCTGCTCGCACCACGGAGGAAGGTTGGTGAAAGGGGCAGAAAAGCAATGAGCTTTCACAGCTGACAGTGGAGGTTATTCTGTGTATGCATGTGTTCATCTCCATTTCCTCCACATGATTTCTGTTTGTTACCCACTGAGATGACATTAGAATGTGATATAATATTCAGCTTTGTGCTGTAAATATCCCCTGAGAAAGCACTGTACTGGTCTTACATCCTTCCAGCTGATACATTCTTCTAAGGTACAGGTGTCCTTTTGGACATTCCAAAAACGTGCACTGCAGTCTTTCAGCAGTAATCACTGCTGCTGCAATAAAAGACTTTGGTCTGCATTTTGAAACAAAATAAATGCAAGCTCTCACAGGTGAGTGTTTGATACTAAGCACATCTTTCTGAATGGGTAATAATGTAGATGGATAGTTGGCTGGGAAACGAGGAGTAGTGAAGGACATATATTTAACTAGTCTGGAGAAACTCCAGTCTCAAGGGCACACCACTTCACAGTTTCTGTTAGCACAGTGTTCATGCAACTACCCTGTTCAGTACTGCAGAGGATTCCCCTGAGCACCTTTCAAGCCTCTCTGAAACAGTCAGGATTCAGACAGAATGAACAGTTTATACTTCTGAAATGCTCGAGCTTTTATTTCTATAGCATATAGCCTTGTATATAGTTGTGCTAAAGCATGTGCACTCCAGGGCTGCTGGGTTTTTGTTGAAAAGTAAAGACACTGGGGTGAGATGTAAGTAATGTTAATAATTTGCTGTTAGAAACCCACCTTTCTACCTATGTAATGCAGTGTTTGCCTGGAGAATCTCTCCTCTATGAGTAAGATGGTCCTAACACTGAGGGTTCATCTTCTCTCTGTGTCACTGATGTTTTTAAATTTTAATTTTTTTTTTTTTTAGCAAGAGAAAGAAACACTGGTGAAATTTTAAAATGTTCATATGGTTTCAATGAGTTTTGAGTGCACTCTTTCCTTCCTATTGGAAGTGCATCTTAATCATTTACAGTAGTCTCCTGAGGTTTAATTTAGTGCTGATTGCCAAGTACTCTTTAATTCTAGAACTGACTTGCTTATTACTCACTTTTCTCTTTGATTTGTTATGATTATTACCAAACATGTAAGTAAAACTGGAGATAACTTGGTCATACTTTGCAATTTATCGATGAGGAAACTCACTGTCCTGCAACATGAGGAAGAGTGTGCAGGAAGGCTGTTTTTCCAAGTCTGATTTAATATGGGATTTTATGGTTCCCATAAAATCAAACTATTTTTCAAACTATAAAACCTAAATCAGTTGGTGAAGAATATGTTTGCAGCACTCTGAACAAAGATTTTTTTAATAGAAAAGAAAGTTTTAATAAGATTTATACAGGTGAATTTTCTTCTCTGGGTTTAAAATGTGCGATTTTGTCCTCTCACTGGCAGATTTTCCTCTTTTTCAATTTCAGTTGATCTTTGATGTTTGTTTAGTGCATCTAAACTGTCTCTTGCTAAAGGTAAATTAAGAACTACTGAAAAAGAGAGAAGGACTTAGACCTCCTGTCTGTTTCTATAAAATACTTGAGGAATGACATTCTCTTTTATAAACCTTAGCTCCCAGCATGTCAGGTAATTTCCTACCTTAAAGGACACTTTGTTCATGTGGAATAGCTTTCCAAATAGCGAAGATTTAAAAAAAAAAAAAAGTCCTGCCTGCAGATATGTATAACTCACAGCCTAGGATATGCTTTGTAGATTAATATAACTTTCAAGGAGTCTGTTTACAATATCTTCTCCCAAAAAATGTCAGCATAGGACCCATAATATTATCACCAGAAAAATGTCAGCTCCTGTAAAAAAATTCATCCTCTTCCTTGGGTGATAAAATTAGGTACTTCCATGAGAAAATTAAGACATTTAGTAGATGCAGTTCTACAGATACTTCCTTTAATTCCTCATATTATCTTTGTAATTATATTGGTGTTCATGTATTTTAAAAATAGTATCAACTAAATGTTTAATGACAGTGGTTTGTTCCTCTTCCACTGAAGAAAAATGGCAGTCTATTTAAAGGTGCTGTGTTGCCTGTGATTCCATTTTGAAAATGAGCCTTTTTTAGACTTGACTTTTAAAAAATGTCAGCTATACTATTTTTAGAAAATAATTTGGAAAAGTGATACGAGTGTTGGAAGTTTTTTTATGACATCAAAGCAAATATCCCTGGTAAAGGCAAAGTACAGCTAAAAGGTAGTGGCAAATTTCTGCTGGATTGGATTTTACATGCAATGTTACTTCTAAGGCCTACTTCTAAAAATCAATTCTGCTGCTGTTAGGCTTTTCCTCTAGATCAGACATTTGTCACAGTTCAGTATCCATCCATCTCCTGCCTCTTTGGCCTTGTGAAGGTAACAAATGGAATTCTGTTTGGCTGCGTCTGGAAAAGATGAGCAGCGATTTGGGTTCTTTCATATCTGTAAGAAGAAGCTGAGCACTGGAATAATTGACCTGTCAAGAAGCAGGCAAGGTGTTCTCCACAAGCCAGCAGCAAGGGAAATGAGAAAACGGTTTTAAAAATGTTATTTTTCAATGTGATCTATTTAATAACTGCAGCAGTGTCAGACAAGTGGCTTAATTTATATCACGGTGCCAACTCACAGAGTGATATCATCAGAGAGAGGAAGCTGAAGTGGTAAATACAAATATATGTACACGTATACAATGGGAGCTAAATCAAAGATTTAATTTTATAATTTTCAGTATTTCTTTCATACTTTCTCTAGAGACAGATTTTTTTTTTCAGTTACATCCACTGTTAAATCTCCTTTGGAATAACATTGTGGAGTAGTACTTGTCCCGCGTCTTGTTTGTCACCACAAAAATATGACAGGAAGAGAAGTCTTCCATAGCTTTTATCAGCTGCTCTCTGTTTCTTCTCACTTTAGTGCAGATCTTAAAATGATATTTCCACAGCTGCATTCATTAGCTGCAATTTTAATTTTGCTTCAAATTTATCCTATGTCCTCAAAAAACCTCAAAAACACCAACACACGCTGGTAGAATATTAACTCAAAAAGTCGTGCCATTTAAGTGAAAAGACGAATGCAGTATGGGGTTTTTTTTTAATTTTAGAGTGTGGTATTCATTTTACATTTCTTTTGCATTCACACTCCCCTATCCCTCCAGGTATGTTTATATAAGACATTATATTCCTGAATGCCCTTTTTGTTTCAGTAATGAAAGTAAATATGTTTGAGCAAGTTTTTCCATTGTACTTAAAGCCAAAAGTGAGTTATGCAGTGTTAAGCTTTGCCATTTTTATGATTATTATTTTCACATAAAATATTCTAATTAATATCACACACATATATTTATTCATGGTTTTGTTGTTACGGAATAACTTGAAGACTTTTAAAATGCTAATTTTTTCACTGTGTGGCAAATTATTTCACTTGCCATAAAACACACAATGCAACTATTTATTTCACCAATTTTATGCTTTGCACGTTTGCAAGGAGTAGCCCAAGGCTACCTTTCCATGCTTCACTCGAGCTGGCTAAGAGTCAGATTGTCCACAATACAGCTCCATTTCTCCCCTCCAGTTCACTGTTTCTCTGCATCAGGCAAGGTCACAAGGACTCTACCAAGCACTGTTAGCTTTGCATCTGAAAATGTAGTTGTCGAAATGTGAAGACTCCCAGGACTGTAATGTGTGGTTCATTTTTTGTCTAAAATATTTTTTTTTCTGCTGTCATCTCATATGTTTCCTTGTCCTCACCTCTGATACCCTAGTTTGAAGTTGTGGGATACTTGCAGCAGAGCACTCCAATTTTTCAGGTTTATCAGGGTAAAGATTTGAGCTCGGCTCCATGAGCCTGTGCCAAGTCAAGTGCTGAGGAGCTTCTGACGTGGGAACACAGCCAGCCTCAAAGAGACTGTGGAGAACAACAGGAATATCTGAATTGGCTGAGGAGACCTGAACACTGCTGGTATCTGTAGCTGTGCTTATTTGTTTAAACCTGCCAGACCTCAATATAAAGATGCCAGGGGCTCTTGGCTTTTCTGAGAATCATGGTCCAAGGATGGGCATGGACTCAGGGATATCTGTTAAAGATAAGACTATAGTTCTGTTGCCATAACGTTTAGCAGTGAAGAAGTCACTCTGACCAGGGGGCTAGAGTCAGGGAGCCTTGACACATGATGTGAGATGCCCCAAACCACGTTGTTATCTAGGTTTGAAGTTGGGGCAGCAGAGTGATAAATATTTTAGGTTCTCGTATGATGTCTCTACCATAAGTTTTCAAAATCAGCTTTCGTATTTCATATGGAATGTTTTAAAATCAGATTAAAAGTGATGAAAAATATGAGGAAGAAAAATTCCATAAGTATTTGTTAAACACAAGGACACCTCCCTAGAACAGAAGATGTCTAATCAACAGGCTCCTGTGAACTGGAAAATTGTCCTGGAGAGGTATCACTTTATGCTTGCTTTATTAGTTCACACTTTTTTGGCCTCTTTCTATTAGTTTTGTTGAAGACTGGGTAGATGGACTGGGAGAGATGGAATAAATAAATTCTAGGACCAGTTCCAAGCAGCTGCTATCCATCAGCTTTTCCCTCCAGGGACTATACCTTAATAAAATACAGTCGACCTCGGTGGCCTAGCTCACCACTGTGGTGTAGTTTCAACACTTGCCTGGGAGCAAGGGAAGGATGAGGGGGGGCTCCAAGAAGTTTTAGGTGGCTGAGCAGAGCCGTATTGAGAGTCCTCTGCCACAGCAGCCACAGCCATACTGGGAGAGCCCAGCATGGATATAGCAGATGCTCATAGAGGAGACTTTTCCATAGCAGAGTTCCTGCACCACTTCTCAAGCAGTGTGTTCTGAGCCAAGAGAAGCACCTTGCTGCTTGTGTAGCTGCAAGAGGGGCTTTGTCAGCATAGCTCTGGTCACTAATAGCTATGATTTTATTTTCGTTTTTATTTCATGCTTCTAGACAACAAGCGTGGCTGGCAAGCAGTTGTCTTGTAGAATTGGCCTTGGTGTGCAGTGACCAGCCAAACAGCTGTGAATGGTTGAACTGAACAGGGCTCTGAAAAGAAAGCAATTTGCCTAGGGGCAGAAAAGGCCATAAGTATATATGTGACCTAACTTAGCACCTGCTCTATTCACTGGTATTTGATGTAAAGCCATGAACATTTTAACCCTTTTCCAGTTCGGAGTTGCAAGTGTTTAAACCTGGTATTGTCTTCCTGGAGAGGAAACAAAAAAGTGCCATTGAATGTTGGCTACTCACGTCATTATTAGACCATGTAAAAATAGAAGAACCAAAACAGTTTACAGGCCAGGTGAAACAGCCTCACATGTGAAACAGCCTCACATGTGATTTAGTTAATATATCCATAGTTATTCATGCATATTATGGAAAGCAAAGGCAAACGTGAGAACAGTTCCAGTGCAAAATTAAGAAATGCTAAATATAAATAAATGAGGAGTGATTTGTATTGATTCTCCATTGCCACAAATTCCACATTGTCATTCAGCCCTATGCATCTCTTCAGAAAGGCATTTTTCAACATTTTCAGTGCCTGACAAAAATGCATCCCTAGGCCTGCAGGGAGTGTGAGTTTTCTATACTGTCTGCTTGCTCTTGTACTGCTTCAGCAAAATCCTCGCTGTAGCAAATGGATTAATGCCTTGCTTCTGTTTGCTCCCTCTCCTTGGTGTAGCTCCAAGTGCTCCTCCTCAGTCTGTCACTGTCCTGACAGTTGGAAGTCACAACAGCACAAGCATCAGCATCTCCTGGGATCCTCCCCCTCCAGATCACCAAAATGGAGTCATCCAGGAGTACAAGGTACACACGGTGTCTGATGGGAGGGCTGTGTGTTTAGGGAAACAGCCTGTTTGAATTACAGAACAATAGCACTGTTTATGGATTTAGATTCTGACAGCATTTACAGCTGCCCATATAATTATATGGCAAAAGAGGACTGACTGCTTATGGATTTCGTTATTATTATTATTATTACTACTGTTATATTAAAAAGCAAAAACACCATGAGATTGATATGAAAGAGAGCTGTAATTTCTAGCCAGTTTACAGTTCTTATCCTTCTAGCTTTTCCCTGCTATGGGAGAAGAGGGAATATCTTTCTATTTTTTGTAAGGGTCTTTTGCACTCTAAAGACAGGAAGTTCCTGTCTTGGAGTACCTTCAATCTGGCAGCAAAGGTGGCAGGAAAGTTGCTTCTTATTTCCTCTGCAAAAATGCTAATCCTCACACTCCAAGGTCAAAGTCAAGGACTGTGGCTCTGGGAGAATTTAAGACTTCTTCCAAGTACTATATCTGTCAAGCTTTACAACTTAAAGTGCCAGGTTGTTTGCTCTGAAAAACAGGTTGAACACAGCTACTATATCCAAAGTTTGCTATGTGAGAGTTACTTGCATTGGTTGTATTTTCTTCCTTTTTGTCACTATGATGGCTCAAAATATCCACTCCTTATACATTAAATGTTGGTGTACTCTGTAATTTCATACTAAGATCTCTTTTGCACAAGGGTATTTTCACAACATTAAAATAAATGCAGTCTGTTATTCAGGTGGAGAAAATGACTGGGTGAGGTTCAGCCTTGTCACAGCATGGAGCACAGTTTGGTAAATTAACCTTGCTGTGGCTGGCCTATATACACCAAGTGTGAAATGATTAATTGAAATGGATCAGGACAGCTTTCTTGACAGTCCCAAAAAGAATGGGTGGTGACTGCCACTTATTTCACATAAAAGGATTTTTTTTCCCCTGCTGTATCTTGAGGGAACACAGCATGAAGGGAGAAAGCACTTGGCTTCTAAATCAGATAATGGTTCAACCTCTTCCAGCTTTTCACTTGGTCAGAGGGATGCAGTAAATGCTCACAATGTTTATGTTTAGCATAGCACTTCTTTTGTTTTGCTTTTAGTCAATATCAAGATTTATTAATCCCAGTATTTTATTGATCTAATTTTCATATCAATTAATAATTATACCTTGGCTTAATTAATCTTGATCCTGACTCCAGTATAAATCAATATAAACCGTCCAGGGCCTATAGGCAAACGAGTAAAGCATGCTCCTAAACCACAAAACTTGTAGATATGAAACAAAGTGGGCTGATGGCTAATAAAAGCCATGTTCCAGGTGAGTGCTCAGGCCTCTGGGCCGTATATAAAACCAGCTGGAGTCACTACCTATAACAGCCCTCCTGTGTTAAATTAGGTGGCTGCCTGAGTGGTGAACTGGCTACAGTGAATGGTGCAGAGTCTGATATTAACTTGAGTATAAAATAATTGCTGAAGTTCCACAGTGCATTTTCTAACAAATTGAAAGCAGATCTGTTGATTCCACTTCAAGCATCAGAATGCCTGTATATTCATTCATGAATTAAATGCTTTTAATTAGGGGTATCTCCTAGCTGTTGTAATCTAAGACCAGGACAGACAGGTGTGAAGAAATGAATGCAATAGTTACTCACCTTAATGCATTCTGGCGGGCAAATAGGATCGCCTTAGGTTTAGGAAAACAAGAGAATTTTTTTCCTCTTCAAATCTTTCTTAGCATTTCACAGAAAAAAAGGAGTGGTAAAACACTGAGCAGGGTCAAAAGTGTAAAGATATTGTTGTTATTGCTTCGATGCATTGGTTTGTCATTGATAGTGGTTCCACCAATAATGTTTTCTTCTGCTGTTATTGTCATGTAAGTGCACATGTGGAATATTTATGCATTGATTTTCTTGTTTGGTAGTAAATGCTTTCTTTAGTATTTGCAGATAGCATTAATTGTGGAAACCTAGAAGTTAGTTTTGAAACCTCTTTGGGGAATCCTATAAAAATTGCAATAGGGAGGCATAACACTCTGAACTCATAGACTCTTCTCATCACAAAATGCCAGTTATGATTATAGGGTGGATTTTCTGTTTTATTAGATAATATTTGAGTGAGAAACTGATGTCTGAATTCCTAAACAATGTAAATAATCACAAAGACAGTGGTAAATGTGAGTCTGTGCTTATTCCATTACAGAAATTTTTAAATACCCCTCTTGTGCAATGAAAGGAAGTTGAAAAGAATTTTGACAATTGTTTACTCATTAGTGCTTTAAGTATTTCAACCTCTGCTCATATTATTTGGTATACTTTTGCTATTCAGCAGGAAATTTAGAAGGAAAAATGTTTTCCTTCTTAAAAAAAAGGGGTTTTTTAACAAAAGGTTTGATAAACAAGATTTTAATTAAGGTATAACACCTCTTTTCTACTTGGATGATCTGGTCTATGCTTCTAAAAAGTGTAAGCACAGAATTTGCACTCCATGGAGAGTCAGAGTCCAGAGAGGTATTTACAAGCAGTCTTTGCAGTTGGTTTGGTCCTGTGCTAATCTGGGATACCCTGCTGAGCTAAATCACCCCAATTTCAGCTATTCCTGGACAATAAGGTTGTCAGGAAGTCCTAATTAAGTGATTGCCATGAAATTCCATGATATGTCATATCTGTACACGACTGTGTGAGTGTGAAGAATTGCATCTATTTTAACACATCAACTTTTGTCCCAGATCTGGTGCCTAGGTAATGAGACTCGATTTCATATCAACAAAACAGTAGATGCAGCCATTCGGTCTGTAGTAATAGGTGGCCTATATCCAGGTATCCAGTACCGTGTGGAAGTTGCTGCAAGCACCAGTGCAGGTGTGGGAGTAAAAAGTGACCCACAACCCATAATAATTGGTAAGTTACTTGTCTGTTCTGTTGCTTTGTTTTGCCTGGTTTTTGTTTGTTTGTTTTACTCTCAGAAATGCTTTCATACATCATTACTGGAAGCATAAAAATCTGTGGAACAAAAGTTGGGATTTGACTAGAGCTGGTTAGTTAGTTTTTACATCCTGCTGCCTGATGATGTTTTGTCTTCTTTTACTGCAGAGTTCTTGGAGACAAAAAAGGGAAGTATATTCCCAAGACATATGAGAAAATGCAGATGGCCTAGTGAAAGTGATTTAATGTTTTAGGGGTTTTTGAAATGAATTTACCACTTCTGCAGGTTGACAGATGTGTGGAACAAACAGTCCGATGTCCCTTGTCTTTCTGTTAAGATGGCTGGAATATTGCCTTACTCATTCCACTGGTGCCTAAAGTTTCTAAATTTCCACTGGTACCATTGTTTTCTGAAAGTCTGAAGTCAGTTTTTCTCAGGTATCCCAAGACAAGTCTCCTCTGTCAAAGAAAAAGTGGTCTCTAGACCAATTAGACAGCAAAGGTAGCATTATCATGCCAGCCTTTGAAATACTTATTTCTTGGTAGTGCCCTCCATGCAGAATTAATTTCCTGACCTGAGGGAAACACGGGTTTTGTCTCTTCTGAAATTTTTCCCGAGTATAAAATATAAAGCCAGGAAAAATATGGAAGACTACAAGTAATTATGTTTAGCAAACCTGAAATGAGCTGGGCAAAGCAGCACCTTTTTTGAGTGGACAATACAGGAATTTTGTTGCCTTTATCTGTATGATCTAACTTAGTTATTACTTAAATGGACTTTTGTTTGTTTGTTTGTTTTTTGAGGGGACTTCCATTGTTACTAAATACTTTCTTTCTAGAAAATGTTGTCAATACACTGTCCCAAACATGGACTAGTCTATTATTTGTAGACCCTTAGAAAAGAACATCCCATAAGCATTGCTTAAATGTTTGCTGATATTCAGGTTCCCCATTCATCAAAACGGAAGCTAGGCTACTTCAGCTTTGAAGTCTCACTGGAGACAGAAATACAAATGTGAAAGTGAAGGTAGTACTTGGTTTAGAAAAGGCAGGCATGGAAACACCAAGGAAGAGAGGGGGGAAAAAAGATATCTAGAAGTGAAAACAAAAAATTGATTTTTGAAAATGCAATAAACTTTTTTTTTTTTCCTTACTTACCTAAGGGGGCCATCTAACTAGGCAGGAAATATACTGCACTTACTCCAGCAAAGCACAATAAGCATTTTAAGTACATGGGTAGCCTTGTGTCACTTAATGTGTTGTCACTTATACTTGCACCAAAGGTCTTTGCTGGATGATTCCTAGAGTTCTTAGTGCTATTTGTCTGTAATCCTTAAATTATCCCAGAATGTCTGCTTCTACAAGTTTATCTGGTGACACCTTTGCACATTTGAGAGTCATTTGTATGAAAAGTAATGGAGAGTAGTTTCTGTTTGCGTTTTGTTTCTGTTGTCATTTCTGTTTCTTTTTTGGGAGCCTAAACTGGATGTTTATTGGTTATATATTTGTTTATTGTGTTATATTGGTGTGTATCTCCCTTTTCTTTAGATCCAATTTTGCTTTTGATTATGAATTGCTAGCAGTTATTTCTCAGACTATAAATTGGCTTGATAAATGTAGCAGTGTTTAAGTGAATAGCATTCCTGAAAAACTTGAGTTGGCATCATTCAATGTTTGAACAGGAATCAAAATCATAAAATATGAAAATAATTTAAGTAAATTTAAAAAAAACTAACGACATGGATTTAAAATGAGCTAATGAATAAACTTCAAAACATCATAATGAATGAGAAAGCATTATTATTATATTATAATTGAGTTCTATATGGTCTGGTGCTTATCTATACCATTTAACAACTCACAAACAGAATGAACAACTCCAGAAATACTGAATTATGGAGAAAACATTTCAGTGGTGCAGGAGAGTTAAGATGTGGTTCTAAGCAGTAAAAACTTTTAATAGTCATGAAATACAAAGTAGAGTGCATAAAAAGAGATATTTTTAAATACAGGATTCATTCTTCTAAAAATATTTCGGAGGGGTTTCTGAAAATAACTGGTTTTCATGGTGGTTAATCGACTACTGACCTCCCAGAGTAATTTTAGATAACAGACTGTGACAATCCAGAAAGCAAAACCAGGAGAATAGGAAGCAGTAGGAAATCTATTATTCCTTTAGTTAGAAATTGTCTTACTGTTACAGGAATCTTGTGCCCATACTTGAAGCAGGATGTTGAAAAATTTTATGAAAGACTCAAAGACAATCAAGAATAAAAATTTTATGTTCACTAATGATATTCTAAAAAACATTCACTGGGAAAACCAGAAGTAAAATTGGAGATAAGGGCAATGCTGGTTAATGCTGTAGCTATTATTTCTCTTCATCAGTTGGCCTGGTCCCTCTTACATTCCATCATTGGCATAATAATATGAGGAACAGCTGCAAACTTTCACAGTAATAGGTACAATCGAATCTGATGTGTCTAATTAATTTTTGGTCCGACAAATTAGTTTTGTTCTTCATTACTCTCCAATGGGAGGAAGACATTATATTTCATTATGTTTTTGTCTTCAGGAACAATGGAGCGTTACAGGTCGCACACTTCCCTTGTCTATGTTCTAATTAGTTGAACTGACAGCATTGTTACAAAACCACCTGCAGTATATGAAATAGTACACTGGTACCTTGGATGACATATTTATTGCTTCTGCTTAAATATTATATAAAGAAGTACAAGACTAATGCTGTTTGTTTCCCCAACCCCCAACAATTATATTAATTCTATCAAAAGTCAGTGAGTAACATTCATCTGTCTCCATTTATTTTTCCATCACCAAATTCACAAAGCATATGTTATTTTGACATTTAAATGAATTATTACTTTTGCAGTTGTAATTGCTAGGCACAGAAGGGTAAGAGCAAACAGCCAGACTTGCAAACTTTAGAAGGTAATTTGGAGACAGAGTGTATCTTCTGCTAGAAGACAGGCAGAGCGTACAGTCCACTGAAACCTTTCCCCAGGTTCTTTGCAGTTTGCTCTCACGTCCTCCATTTTCAAAAGACTGTTTTCTGGTCTTAGAGAAGACAGGATCCTCAGATGTTTTTGGAGGCTTTAGTGAAAAGAATTCATTCTTGAATCCAGGAGTATCCACTCCCAAAGCTGGTCTCTCCAAAACACTTCCCTGCCTGCTCTTCTCCTTGGTAGCATGGCTGTGTCTGAAGCAGTGCCAAGACTACCTGTTTCCTCACTGTCCTGCTGCTTTGGCCTCTCCTCCAAAGGGCACAGAAATTAACTGCAAGTTAATGGTAATTAGAGCAACTCCAACTCCCATGCTGATTTCTACTAGGAAATCGATTTTGTGTCTGGAAGAGCATGCCACAGAGAGCCCCTTTCTATTAGTTTTACTGTCAGCCCTTCCTCTTTCAGCACTGGGGTGCACCTATGGATTGGTTCATGGGCAGAAAAAAACATGGAAAATCAGATAAAGCAGCCACTACTGCCTGCTTTCTTTCCTTGCCACAGCTGCTCACTCAGTTTCATTCTCACATACTGAATCAGGCTTGGAAGCCATTGGGCCTTTGTCAGTGGCAAGACAAAAGATGCAACTATGGCAAAGGACAGCTGCAGCTCCCAGAGCCTGATTCCAGTAAAGCTTCCCAGCATGGCATGTATAGACTGGTGCACTTTTTGTGCATCTGGCAGCATCTTTGGTGGGAGCCTGTTTTGTTCCTTGCCCAGAAGGACTGAAAGCAAGCCAAGCTCTAGCTCAGCTTCCACAGTCTGATTGCAAAGCAGGCAGTCATCAGTACAAAATATTGACGTGGTGCTGAAAGAGAGGAAGCCCAGTAAACTCACCGGGGTCATCAGCAGTGTGATGGCAATGGCATGCAGGGCACTGCATTTCTTCCTGATTAACCCAGCCCAGCTCTGAGCACCTCTGAGGGCCTGAAGCTGCATCTTGGGCAAGGGCAATCCCAGAGGGACCTGCTCAAAGATCTCCTTTTATGAGACGTGGCTGTGTGAACTCTGGGTCACCTGCAAAGAGGTGTCCATGGAAATGGGACTGGAAGTGTCAGACTTCTCAGATCTGCTTCAGCCAGAGACCCTGAGTGCTGGCTTTAGGCTGGAACCAGCAAGCTCCTCTATTGGAATAAATAAATCTAACCATTGCTGAATTACAGAAAAGGAACATGTACATTTTCACAGCATGGCGTAATGATACAATACTTTAAATAATTTCCTCTGAGTGACCATTTCAGTGTTTTATTGCAATGCTCAACTACCTTTATGTGTGAGATAGACTCTCATAATTGAGAATCATATTGTTTGCATCTTCTTTGTCACAATAGAGTAGCTAGTCTTGCAGCTTTTCAGCGTGCATACAGGCATCTGGTAATATTGCATAAACATTTCAAGGATTGAACTATACAAATGTTTTTTCCAGAAATGATGGATAATCTTTCACAAATTTCAAAACTGCAGATGTGGGCAGTTTATATAAAATTTATATAGAATAAAATTTGGGGTTTTTTTTAGAAAAATATGTTCTGCATTTCCTAATTTTAAAACTATTTTTGACAATTTGAAAGTGCTGGCCCTAGAACTATATGCTTTAGCATTTCCTAGATTTCCATTCAGATTTTTATGAGCATTTGTTTTTAAGCTAAATGCCAAGCTTTTTCTTTTAGAAAAGTTCCTTTTTAGAGAAAGAGGGATAAAAAGTAATGGGAGCATCTACTGGAATTTACCGTTTTCTACTGTAATATGCAATTTAAGATCCTATATATTAATTTTTTGATGCATGTCACTTTAATCGGTATTCCGAGTAATAATTATGTCTTGCAGGTTGATGTTAAGAATTTGTATGCATATTCTAGTTGAAAAAAATAGCATCTGTTGCTGTGATTGTTTAGTGTTTACAGTTAACTGTGTGATTTTCTGCTTTGTGTCAAAGATGCTACACTTAGAATTTTTATGAACTGTTTTCCCCTTGAAGTAATTGCTGGAAAATGCATCCTTGCCTAATGGAAAGTGCATTTATTTTATTATTTATTTCAAATTTGTAAGCTAGCATTCAAGGTTGAGTTGAGTTAAGAATTTTTGGCCTTCTGCTGATCTTGTAGCATAATTTTATTTGGATTACTTGTTTGGAAAAAGCTATTTCTTGATTTATTTTTTCATTAGTTTCCTGTGATCCATTTTCTCATTATTGTATTCTGTCTACAATTATGGAAAAACAGACTAACAAATATGTATATAGTTAAATAAAAAAGCTTTTGGTTGGCATCTGTTAGATTACTTGGGAGTTTGCTATAGGTCTGTCTTTGCAAATCTATATCTGTCAAATGGCTGTGGATTTACTCTAGAAACGCTGAGATTGTAGTGTGCATTGCTATTTCTTAAAGTTCTTCTAATGTGGTAATTCTTTTGAGATCCATTACTATTTTTTGAAAACTTTTAATTTGTAGTGCTGGTTCCCCTGTGTGTTACGGAATCCACAATAACCACATTCTGTTCAATTTCTCTTGTGCAGGAGGTCGTAACGAAGTTGTCATCACCGAAAATAACAACAGCATAACTGAGCAAATCACTGATGTGGTCAAGCAGCCTGCCTTCATAGCTGGCATTGGTGGTGCATGTTGGGTCATTCTCATGGGTTTCAGCATCTGGCTGTACTGGCGAAGAAAGAAGAGGAAGGGGCTCAGCAATTATGCTGGTAAGAGCAGTGACCTTAGTGCCATCTCAGCAGGTGCTATCATAAAAAGAACAGGGGCTGCTAAACCTACCTAGAAACCACATTGAACTTACAGCAGAAGCGTCCTGGGTGACTTCTGTATGCTTGTTTTAAATTCTGAATGCTGTGAAATTGCTGGTGTATGAGAAGCTTTAAATGCATCGCTCAGTATCACATTCCATCATTATCATAAAGCAGTATTTTTGCATCTCCAGCACATCTAGCATTAAAAAAGTAAAAAGAGGATTAACTGTTCCTCTTGCCCCTTGCTCAGAAGGCACTCTGTTGGCAGTGCAGCATTGCTTATATGTTCAGATATGAGTTAGACTAGACCTTTCCAAGGAAAGTTAAAAAGTTTTTGTCTTCTTCTTCATTGCTGTGCATTTCCATGTCTCTGAAGCCATGTGCATGGCAAATAAATGAAGGTACCTAATCAGTGACTTCATACCTGCAGCTGGAAGAGTGATGTATTAGACAGAGGAGTGTGGTCAAAATTTACCTAAGGCAGATGCCATAAATAGTTTTGCCTTGGAGGCAGAACATCTTCGAATGTTCTCTTTAGTTGTTTGTTCCAGTTATAAATTAGTTTTTGAAAACTGCATTTGGAAAATTAAATACACTTGCTAAATGAAAATATTTTCATCTTTCCCCAAACTTTGTTTTATGTATTATTCTGTTTTCAAGATTCTTATGAATTTTTGGGAAATCAGGTGAACTGTCATAAAATGGGTTACTCTGAAGCCTAATTTAGCACACAAAAAAACCAATTCTTCAAATATTGCAGTAGGTTCTCTTGTAGTTCTTATTAACACTTAAAAGGAGAAAACATTTGCCCAGTTGAGGACAGAACATATTTAATCTTGATATTATATCACATTAAAGTTACACAAGTGTCCTTCTACTTAGAAGTTATAAAGTGGGAAACAAAGGACTCAGGTTCCCTAAATGGCTGAGCAACAACTTGCCAAAAACCTACAGCCACATCCAAACCGTTCCCAATTTAGCTCAGCCATAGTCAGACTACTCAGTGTCCTGACTGGGCTCACTAAACCACCAGGAAACTATTCTGTGTTGGTTTCCAATCCTTCCTGCTGGATTTGTTTTGTACTGGCTTAGTGAAAGGACAAGAAGACATCAGATGAGCAGTGGAAAGAGAGGAAGGTGAGACCCGTGGCTTTTGGACCTTCTTGGTTTTGGTGGAACCTCACTTTGTGTCACCACATGATCTCTCTCATTCATGGGTTGTGCTTTGTGCCAAGGTGTTCTTTTTCCTTTCCTTTAATAACATTAACTTTCACTCCCTGAGAGGTGGGGTGGTTTTAACTGAGAAATTAATATATATCTCGCACACTTATACATGTGCTGACATGAAATATCATTCTAGATCCCAAGAGTTTTTCATACCAGGGACATCTGTGCTGTTATTTCTCTTAGGAAGTAGTCCTACCTAAAGCTTTGGACACAAGCTGAGACTAGAATTTTTTTAAAAAGAAGAACTATTAGTCGTGAGTGAGTTGGCATACTGGGGTGAGGGACAATTGAGAGCAGTCTGTTATAACTTGAAATAGCTGTAAACAATTGTAAACAGCGTGTCTCGTGCAACTCATTCCTTCTCATGGCGTTTGCTGCATCTAAGTGTGATGTGAACATTGATTGCATCATGAAACTGTGTATGCTTTCAGCAAGGAAAGTAGATAACAGATCATGCTTCAAAGTTCATCCTAATGTTTACAACTTGGAGAACAGCATGTCTGCACAGAGTTTTCAAATGTGACCCTCACAATTCACTGCTCGTCTTTCCAACCATCATTTCTCATTGGCTGCTGGCTGGTTGGTGCTTTAAGCTCAGCTGTTATGTCCTGCTTATGGTATTCAACCCCAACTGAGTGATTTCCAGAGGAAACTCGTGCCCTGCAATTAGTGCTTGTTGTCAGGGTGTGTAACTCACAATGTGTTTGCTTTCTTGTTTTGCAGTTCAGTCCTTCACCTTCACCCCTGCAGGTACTGTCCATTAGTCTGTCTCTTACCTCACCAACACATAATTTCAAGCATTAGCTATCAAAGTGTCTATGAACATGTGAGATATGAAGAATGAAAACCAAGTACAAGGAGAAATACTCTGGCTGCCTATCTGTGATAAAAATGTAGCATTCATTCTTCTCCTGATTCCAGGGAAAAGTAAAATCTACCACCATTAATGTCTCTGACAGTATAAATCTGCATACTTAACTCATCCAACTCTCTGAAATGCAGTTTTGAAAGTAATTTTCAGGACCAAATGCTTGAACTAACGTAACATAAACAAGCATTATTCATATGTAACTGAATTTTGATTTTAAAGATCAGTTTAGCAGATCTAAGTGGAGAAATGGAACTTTCTTCTACTTTAACTCTCATTTAAGTATATGTTTGACTTACCATGAGGTGTTCAGACCTTCAAGCAGTCCAGTCACTAACTGATGCATTCATTGACTTTACAAGGTTTTGAAATTGACACATTTAGGTTTTTTTTTCTTACTATCCAGCTCAGAGCTGGTATCCTATTTTTCTTACCTTTAAAAAGCATACAGTAGGCTATTATCATAAAAATATGTGAAGGATAAACAAAGAGTGGCTGAAACATCAGGTTGCAAGCACTTTCTTCAACATGTGGATAGTCAGTAAATAGAGTATACAATAAATAGTAATAAATAATACAAACAATTAGCTTCTGCTCTCCTACTTAATCTCGAGATGTAGAAATCAAATAAAATTGTTGTGTGTTAAAGTGTTAAAACCTGATAAATCTCGACATTTTCCAGCAGAAGTCTGTCGAGTTTTTTGGGTGTAATTTGGCCCCCTTTGCCTTTACCAGAGCTGCCCTGTCATACTCAGTAGCTGCTTTCTCTCTATTGCTTGTTCTTCAGCCACAGCTTGTGTTCACCTTTGCAGGAAAGAGGAGAAATGTCCTTGTGGACAAGCTCTGGGGACTCAGGATTGCTCCCTTAGCTTCCAGGCACATTTGGTCAGGTTACTGTAAGTTATGGCACAACACATCCCACCCTAAATACTTTATTGCCTTTTCTTTGAGACACAACATAGGGCTTTTTCCAAAATTTAATAATACATCTTTGCATATGGTTCCTATGACTATGCCACTGCCAGCTGTCTTGAACTGTGGTGCATTTTCACTGTTGTGTTTGTAGCATGCATTGGCATGACACAGGATTGTGCTGGAGCCTCAGGGTCTGAGCATGATTTCTTGCTGTTGATCCACATGTGCTGGGCAATTGGGATATATCAGAAGTACTGCCAAAAATGTTCTTTTTTAAAAGCAGTTTTGACATCTTGTGGACTTTGTGGAACTATTCTATTTCCTGGCTTATAATAACTTTAAGAGGAATTGAGAACCTAAGTCCTCCAATAGTTGAGTCCAAAAATTTTTTTTTAATTTAAAAAAGTATTTTCCTTATGACAGAACATAGTGCATTCTTATCATTAGACCCAGAGTTCCAAAACAAATTTTGTTAATTGTCTAATATTTGCCCTTGATAATATCATTTAGAAATACATAGCTATGCTTGTGGAGGTTTGACACTCACAACTGTATGTTGTTCCCTTCAAAGTTACAATTCATAAACAGTTTGGGTTTAGATACAATTATTTAGACAGTGGTATGTAGCTTTCAGCTTCTCCTCAGAGACAGCTGTCAACGAAGTTTTACTAAAGATTAATTTATCCTAATATACTCAGATTTTAGAAGGTACACAGTTTTTGTTCTGACATCTGCTTTAAATTCTTCCTTCAGAGAGTTGCAGAACATACAGGTTTAGCTGTGTGGTAGAGAATTGAATCTATTAGTATAACAATCATCTACTTAATTTATTTCACACTCAGAAAAAAATCCTGTTATTTCTGATGTGAATATATTTTGATTTAATTTTTGTTTTATATTTCTTCATCTGTATTTTCCTGTGTGTAGAACACAGAACACTAAAAATAGTTGCTTAAAATTCCAAATCCATGCAGTTTTATAAGTACTTGCTAAAAATGTTCTTTTGGGTCATTTGCAGATTATGGGTCATTCACTTGGACCACTTGTTATTTGTATTCTGTTATTAGGCTCCAAAGATGTACAATTTCTTCTTTGTGACTAAATCACTGTTACATAGGTGGGAGAAGAGCATACAGCAAATGTCAGGCAGTTTGTAATGATTTGTGTCAGGGAAGAATAACTGATCGAGTTAAATACTTTTAGATTTCTGTCTTTGTGCACATTTTTGTAAGTACTGATCAATGGCTCAGATGGGCATAAAGTGACATTGATAATCACAGCTCAATCTTTTTAGTTATTTTCAGTTGTACTGACTCCAGTAGTTACTGAGCCACAATTCTGTACATCACTGTTCTTCCACTTCCCTTTCCACCATGACTTGCCAGGCCTTGATTCTCAGTAATGTCAGTGCCACAAAACATAAAATTTAGCTAATATGTTTGTTAGATTACTGTTGGTAAGTAGTAGTAGTGTCATCATCTGCAGCTGTACAAGGACTTTGCATTTTTGTGACCATGACATACTCTCAGCAAAACCAAATCTGGCACAGGGACACTAAACACACCTGCTGTCCCTTTTCAACGATCTCTCCTGGGATGTAAAGGATGGATTGGTCTCACTTTTGTGAGTTTGTGTGAAAGCCGAAGTAGTGCTGCACTGTTTGAGGTTTGTTTGGTGTTTTTTGGTTGGGTTTTTGTTTGTTTGTTTTGGGGGTTTTATTTATGTTTACCCTTTACTCAGGTTGCCTGGATATAAACATGCACCATAGGCTTCCATGATACAAAGATACATGGCACAAAAGAGATATCTGACCACTGATTGTGTAAGAGATGGATTATTTCAATACTGCATTGCAGTAACAGAACAGAATCTGTTTATTTTATACTGGAAGTTGTAATTCTTTTTTCAGATTTCTGTGAAAAGGCATGGTTGTAGGGAAAAAAAGAGAAATTTCATTTATCTGCTTACCTTTCCTGTGCCCTCAAACTTGTTGTGCCAGTACCCACTCACCAGAATATTCAGGTGTTTTCAAGTGTCTAGTTTTCATGTCATCAGTCATGCAAAAAAAGCAAATATGTATTTTAATTTGTGAGTAGATAAGCTTATTTAGTGACTAGTGCTCCTTGGGATTAAAGATTTTATGAAACTCAGTAAATAGAAAACAAATTAAAAATAGATAGGGAATCATGGAACATTACACATTTTATGTGCAACTCCTGAAACTGTTAAATGAGGATAAACTATATGACAGAATCATCCAAAGGTAGACAGAAGATTTGATGGAATTTTTATGTGCTGATTATCTGTTCTGAGTTAATGCTTATTAAAAGAGGATTAATCTACATTCATATTTGAGGAACAGCTTATCAGTAAAAGGAATGAGACTTGGCTGGCAACATTAAAGTTTTCATTTGCAGTAGAAAAATGTGGCCTACTAGAGATAGGCATACAGAAAGCTTTCTAAAGCTTTCTAAAGCTTCCTTGCCTCAGAATGTCGACTTACTATACATTCATATTTTTCCAGTTCTAGCAGGCATGAAGATTAAGTTTAACCTTGTCAGATAATATTAGTAAATGGTTTTGGTACCTCCTTATATATTGAATAAAAAGCATGTGAAAAGCTCCTTAACATATGCTGTTTTTAATACAAATATATACAATATAATTTTCTGAAATATTTATGCATTTAAAATGCACTTTGGATTATATTTCTGCATTTTTGCAGTCCTTGAAGTATGAGCTGGTGGGGATTCCTTCAAAATCTCTCTATGCAGAGGCTATTTTTTCATCTTCTTTTGAAAACCAATCTCATCCCTGCAGGTCTTCAGCCTTTCTAAGAACATGTATCAGATGCAAAGACTGCTGAAAGAGCTTTTTTGCTTCCTTGGTGATAAAAAGCAAGGAAGATGCGTGGGTCAGTGATAGGGACATCCTTCCCTTCCTCCTCTTACATTGCCCCTTGAAATTGCTCTGCTTCTTTTTGAAGTGGAGACAGGATGAATAAAGCCAGCTGTCTGTGTGTTTTATTTTTACAGTGACATCTACAAGCCTGCATTGCATTAAGTATGCTCCTATTCAGGCGTTTAGACTTGTTTTGTAATTGCAGAAATCAAACTGCAGGAAAAAATGCTGACAAAATGTATGGCAGGAATGATAAACATAGTGCTTTTTCTGGCAGCCTGACCATATCTTCTGTTGTTAGCTGTCTTGCCTTTCACAACACTGATGCTAAAAGAAAGGCACCTTCTCTATCCAGCCTCAGGTAGCCCAGTTATGGATGGCATCAGGAATATGAAGGGGGTTCTGTAGCATTCCAGTGACATGGCCACACTTCAAGAGGAATTTTGGCATGCTTAGTTGATATTCCAAAGCCTTTTACACCAAGCACGTTAAATAAATAAAATGTTTTCTAGTTTATTTTCTCATTGAGATTATAACCATGCATACATTAGTATACAGAGTGAAGGGTAAAAAAAACTAACTTGTTTTCCTTCCTCGCTCCATACACATCACATGAACCAGACTCAGTCTTCCCTAGGAAAATCAATGTCACTGCAAACTGAACCTTTCTTCTAAAGATGATGCACATATTGGGGGGGTGTAAGATGATTGAACACAGGAAATTTAAAAAAACCAAAACGGAAAACAGTTCCTACCACCAGGAAACACGGAAGAAAAAGGAGAAGATTCTCTGATCCTTGTTTTTTTCTCAACAATCTCCTATGCCACAGCCAACCTGCAGCAATTAATGGCTCTAGCAAAGAGGTTTCTGTGTCTTCTTAATGCAGTTCTCATGGCATGCCTGGGAGTTTTCCCCTACCTGCCTACACAGAAAACAAAATGTGTCAGGCAAACATTACTGAAATCTCCTGCTAGCTCCTCAGTTTCAGCTTTGCTTTATAAAGGTACACAGGAATATAAACATTTGGTAGGCAACAAATATGGTTGGGGTTTTTTAAAATTTGTATCACATAGACATTTAAAAACTCACACACCTGTACATGCTATACGAGTGGCAACAAAATTACTTCAAAATAATTTCTGGTAGATGACAGTCTAAACAAGAGCATTAATCCAAGCAGTTTTCAGAAAATATGTTTTACTGCAATTCCCTTAGATCTATAAACTTTATTTACAAAGGTTGTTATCAAACGAGCCTTTGTTTCTTGTTTTCCTTATTTCTTGTCACTTTGATAAATGCAGAAAGTTGGAGAAATCAAGTATTAAATTTGGAGGAGAGGAGGAGAAAGGAAACAGCATCTAATGTCCTATTGACCAAGATACTTGGAAACAAAGCCAGGCAGTACCCACACTTTGCATAATGACATATGATATGCACAGCACTTCAGATTATTCACTTTTAAGCAATGAGTGGTAGTCATTTGACAGCCTGTTAGATACCACGTGAATGAAAGTAGCATTGCCTCTAAAATTAATTACCCACAATGTTTTACCACGTCTTGTTTTTCAAAGCAGACCTTTATTTAGTACTTTCCATACTTGCATTTTGATTTTCTTTTCATTAATTGGTTTGATTACACCCTTTCAAAATTCAGCTATTAACCATTTTGATGTGACATATGACTGCAGTGATTTTCTGATATTGGTATTAGTCTGCTGTGCAGTGAAGGGTAATTAATCACCCTACTATTCTTCCAGCAGAGCTTCCAGAGGGGCCAGTTTTGTCCCCTTTGCTGAATGTACACTGTGAAATTACCCTAGGAGTTAATAAAGAAACAAGGATTCTATAAGGTACTCGAAGAGTTTTCCCAGTGGCTTTATGTAATTGCTTATTTTTTTAATGAACATAGAATTTCTATGGGCAGTAGTAATTTTGTCTGATTAGAGTAGTGTATAATAGAAATCCTAATCCTGAGTTAGTGTAGTTTGGACTAATACTTGGAAAATCTTGCAAATGCTCTGGGAGCTATTATTTAATGATGGGAGCACCTGTCTTACAAAGGTAAATAGTATTTCTGAAAGAAATACTATTTTATTTTATATTAAACTGGTCACAAACTCTTCCATTCCTCACTGAAATTCAAACTCTCATCCAGTCAGGGGCCTGTAAGGGTGCAGGTGTCCAGGACATTGGTATAATTTAATAGTCTGCCTTATCTATGCCTGACAATAAATAATGGGATATTGCCACTGAGAACCAGAGTAGTCTGTTGGCCTTGATTCAAAATATTTTTTCAGTGTTTCAGAAAGATCAAATGTTGTCAATTAGCATCTCACCAGTTGTGTGGGTTTGCATATATTGCCCTGAAATGTAATCCTGTTAATAAGATAGATAAGGGAGGGGCTGTTTTTTGTCAAACATCCATGAATGGAGACATAAAAACGATTGTCTCCCTCTGATTATGTCCTTGGCATCCCCCGTGGATGGAAGACTGGAAACACTTTCTCTTCCTGGTGACACTGGCATGTGTGCATTAATGTGTGAGTGCTAGTTCTTAAACTGTACTTCTAATGGAAAAGGTGCAGCTGGATGCTTTTTTTCCATCCCTTCAGCTGTAATAGAGCTGCCACCTCTTTGTGTTTGTCCTGGGAAATGACATATTTGTGTGGTGACATTATATTACTGCATTACGACATGATGTTATTAACTCACTGGTGCAATGTCATTATGTACTGAAGCAGAAGCATGCCAAGAAAACAATTTCATCACATGGCTCAGACTTGCAATGCAAAGTCATATGAAGGGGCCTGTGGTGAATTCAGGCCTTTTGACCAGATGGCTGCTTTGCCTTGCAAGGTACAGAGCAATCAGTAACATGGTGTCAATCAGTAATGTGCAGTGAAATCCTAAATGAACTGTAGCCCCAATGTGCTTGAGCCTCTACTTGTCATTTCTGTACTTTATTATGGGATGATGCCAAGAGACCTCTGACCTTGGACACTGAGCAGTTTAAATTGTTACTTCTAATTATTACTAATTGATTTTTCCCTGTCTTATATGTGTGTGCGTGTGTGTGTACGTTTGTTTTGTTTTTTCCAACCAAAACACAGTCACCTTCCAAAGAGGAGATGGAGGACTAATGAGCAATGGAAGGTATGTTTCTTTGTATAAAGGTCTTTCCACTGTGTTTATTTTTAAAATAAGGGATCTGAAATATGCAATAGGTGATGTACTTGGGTCGTAGCCCATCGTTGGGAAGACTGATAGCCCTAGGAGGAGTTAAGTAGCTTACCACAAGGTTTAATGACCTATCTTCTGTGCACTTTGCAAGAAGCAAGCCCAGATGTTTCATATCTCCCAGATGTCCTGGAAGAAATGAGTAGTAAATATCACAAAGAATGTGTTCATTTGTTACTGGGATGTTTATTGCATTAATTAGACATTAGCAAATGAAGTTGCTGTTGTTTAAGACTCCTTATTGGCTCCCCCTAAATTGCTGTGAGTGAACAATTACACTTAATCGATCACAAAATAAATGATTCATGGATGATGAATAGGCTGTAGATTGATAGGACTGGATTCCACAACTTTGGCTACTCAATTGAAATTGATAAAAGCTGATAACGGGCCCATATATCCTCATCTATTTTCCCTTTGCCAATATGGAGATTGTAATTAGGCCCTGGTAATAACTTCCAATCTCCTGTTTAATCAATATTTTAGCAAAAAGAGATTAGGCCTAATGAGAGCAAGTGGATGTGGCAAGAATGCGGCTGGGTCGTCTTATTGCCGTTTCCATGGAAACCCATGTTCCTCTTAGGGACTCTTCCAGGCAGGGGTCTGTAATGTTCAATGATGGGAGATGTTGCTCCAACTTCATGAGTGCTTTAATAACCCAGGAAAGCCACAGAACTGCAGACAGCTTTTTGTTTTCATTCAGGGGAAAAGGGTGTCTGCAGCAAATGATTTGTTTCCTCTGCTGAACACAAATACAAACAATCCACGTGCTTTGCTAAATTTCTGTTTATCCTGGGATGAGAGAGAGACACGGTGCCTTAAGGCCTGAGTGTGCCTTCTCTTTCCCCATGCTCCCTTTTAAGGCTGCTCTCAAAGCTGGGAGTTACAGGGCTATAAAAGCCATGCAGTAGTGGCATACACAGATAGCTGTGGACTTTCCATTAATCCTCCTCAAACCTGTTTGCCTCTAAACCATCCAAGAGTGCTCAAAGAAAGAGTTACCAGCCTGCAGATGACAGGCGTGCATTTGGGATGCAAGGGAAGGAAGAAATAGTAGCCCAAAGTCCTGGAAATGGCTGATATGGAGCAATCAGTTTGAGTGATGGCTCCCTTGAGGTGGTAATTTATCATTCAGCCCTGGCGTAGGATCCCGTGATGGTGCTGCCTGACTCCTGTTTCACACAGACAACAGAGTTCATTTGGATTCTGGCAGAGTCACTACGGATGCCTAGTCCCAGTTCTACTGACAAAGTTGATTTGTATATAACCTTAATTAACTGCTCAAGGTCTTTAAATCTTCAAAGGGTATACAAATGTAATTTGAAATAAATTAAAGTCTCCTAAACAGTAATATGCCCTCTTCCATCAATACTTATCTCACAGATACTGTGATTTTATATATATATATATATATATATATATATTTGTGTGTATATCTCTTTTTCTTATTCTGCTTCAGTCGACCAGGTCTGTTGAATGCCAGTGACCCCAGTTATCCTTGGCTTGCAGACTCTTGGCCTGCCACAAGTCTGCCAGTAAATAACAGCACTAGTGGACCCAACGATCTTGGGAATTTTGGTCGTGGAGGTAGGTTTTATTTTATTAAGTCACCTGATATTGTAAAATAGGCTTCCATTAGTTAGCATCTATGATGAATACTGTTTAATATTTTTATCATTATAGTTCTTTCTGTGTGTTTCTTTCTTTCTATATTTGATTGAAAATTGACTTTAATTTTTCTTTTTCAGTTTATCTCTTTTTACTTCTTTAAAACGTAAGTCTAGTTTGTAATTTGCCCCGCAGTGGTGAGACAGGGCCTGCTTATGATATCAAGAGAAATGTATTTGTGTCTCAACCTCATTCCCTTTTGTGTGGAGATGAGCAATGTGCCATGCAGGGCAGTATAGCCAGGGATGGAGGATGTCCATAAGAGCAGAGGAGAGCTCTGGAGATGCAGGAAAGATGCTCCTTCAGCAGGACAAGAGAACTTTGTTGCTGTCACCTTACCTATCCTCTTCCTGCTGAGGGCCTGCTCTCAGTCTCAACAATAATCTGTGAAGAAAACCTCAAACGTCTTAAGCAACTTTCTTTTTCATTAGGGGAAAAGATACATAAAAGAGAACTATTTCAATCTTTTAGGAGTTTGTTTCCATTTTGAATTGAGAGCACCTTTGGGAGAAATGAGGTAAAGGTGTATTGTTACAATGACGAATCTTTGGAGGGATTATTTCCTTTCAAATATTTAAATCAAATAGGAATTTTAACATGTAAGATTGGGATTTTTAAAAGTCATAGTAATATTCACATCTCTCTGTTACTCCCTTGTTTTCTGTGATAACAGAGCTAGTTCTACATGCTGGTCAGAAGACTTGCCAATGTAAATGAGTATATAAATATTTTTAAGACATAGATAAAAATCCAGATAACCTATACATCAAAGATGCATTAAAATGCAAGAAAAATCTATAAAACCATCAAACTGGTAAATATGAAAAGAATTCTCTTTTGGATTCTACCAGAATCTGCTTCTGAAGACCATCCCTCCTGCTATATACATCCTGTTATACATCCCCATAAAAACCTCTTGCCTGTGGTTTAAGTACTGTGACTTAAAATTACAACAAAACACACTAGATTTATATTCTGTATAAAAATGTTGTAAAGTTCTTGTCAAAAATATTTAAAAGTAAGCAAAACTTTTGATAATATTTACAAGACAACTGAATTTCTGCCAGCTTCTTTGTTGTGAGTATCTGGAAAATTAAACCCTTCAGTACTTTTCCATCTTTTCTTAAGCTCACATAATACAGAAAAATTACCATTTTCTTTTGGCTCTACACGACTGGAATTGGAAGCATTTTTAAAAATTTTTGGCCTCGATGTGTATGAGGCGTAAGTCCAAATTCATGCAAGAGATACAATAGTTAAGTTTTGAAATTCAGCAGCTTAATTCCACCCATGATCTTTATGATTGAGCTAAAACTTTTATTCTGGGTGTTTTGGGATCACTTATCCCTATGTGTTTCAGCAGCTGAGATTAGATTTTTCTGCATTAATGATGGATTAGGAGTATTTTAACATGTAGAGATGAAATATTAAATATATAGATAGAACTTGGGCCTCTTTTACTGGTTAAAAGGTCTGTGATAACATAAAAGTTCTGTAAGAATTTTAAAAAGGTGGCATCAGTCACCCTGGAAACACAGAAGCTGAGGCAGGCAGTCCTAAAATTTCCCTTAGGAATGAGATCCACTGTCCTAGATAGGCATTTGAGAGCAAGGCTTGGAGTGGGAAGCACTGGTTGGGCTTGGAGTCATGTAAGGCCACAAAATGGCATTGCATCTCCAAGGCAGCAAGGAAGAGCTTCCCTGCACAAGTATTTCTGCACTATTTCATCATCCTCAAGAGTTACAAATGAAAGTTGGATTTTGGAGAGTTTTGGGGAAAGTCTCCAGTGGGAAATGCGTCTTCATGTTTGGTCTGAAATGTACAGTGTGGTGTCTTTGCTGTGACAACTTGCTGGGAAAATCATACTTGACTTTTACTAGGTGACTGTGGCACTTTGTAAAATCTCTGCTTAATAGCTTTTTGATGCTTAAATGTATACATCTCACTGAGGTCAAAAAAGTAATTCGTGCTTGTACTGAAAATTTCCAGAATGTCTGGAGAGCCTCAGCTTATCAGTAAGAAGGACTGAAAGTCCTTGGCTGGTGGGCAGCTATGCAACTTCCCTTTCAAGTGTGTGCACATGAATAGTTCTTAATTTTAAAATGACTGTACAGAGATGATACCTCTTCAGTTGCCAGAAATATGCTCTAAAAGGCAGATGTATGTCTGAGTACTTCAGAGATGAGCATTTTGCTAGTTTTTACTTCCTTGAGTCTTCAAATCCAACACAGACAGGTTGAGCTGGATTTACTTCACTTTATACATCAACAACAGAATTTGTTTACTAAGCTTCAAGCCATTATACTTTGACGACACCAATTGTGGAAAGGAGAAATGTTCATATTGTGGATGAAATGCAAGAAAGATAGGACTGCACATGTCTCTCACATCTCATGCTCTATTTGCACATAGATGCATTTTTGTTTGTGTACTGCCCCTGGAAAGCACATTGCATATGTGCACATAGTAACAACATAATTTTGAAATATGGGCTGTAGTTTGCATTAATTGTAATTTTTTTGCACTTGCAATTTATCTGCAGATATAAGTTAATACAATTAAGATTTTTTGAATACTTGATTGTGCCCATTTCACTGCTGTATGCAAAACCAGATCATGCTGATAGACCCAAATTTAATCTCTCTTTCTGCAGTGTCTCTGCTGAGCATTTGCTATTGCCATATTTGTTGTTAATAATACCTTGCTGCCCTGAGACTGAAGATGTTATTAGGGTCCATGTCAAAATGTTCACTGTAGCACACCTGAATGCAAAAGAAAATAGTTCTGTGATCTAAATGTTAATCCCAGGGGGAAAAAAAACTAAACCTCAAAAAAAACAATACAAGCAAAAAATACCGAATCAGTGTGAGGAGACCATGGTGTCACATCTCATTGCTGGATAAGTATTTGAGACAATGAGAGAACAAATGTATTTCCTGAGGTTGCACAAAACCCACATCTGAGTTTGGAATTATCTCAAACCCTTGACTAGGTGCAAGAATATTTTTTTTTCTGGGGCTTAAGGTACGTAAAAATGGCTGTGGTCCCTGGAATGGGATCTGAACATCCTCACTATAGGAGTATGCATTATCTCAAGTATGATCTATCAGTTGGAACCTGTATCTGCCATCTGGCTGTAGAAAGAAAATGGCATATTAAATGAAGGATTTTTAAAGAAGTGTATTCTGGAGTTGATTCAAATTTTCAGACTCTGAATAAATTGTAAAAATAATACCATTTGATATATTGACCTCTGAGAGAGCAGGAAGGAGGGTTATCTGCTGAGCTGTGGTTCTCCTTGAGACATCATGCCAGTCATCATTAGATTCTTCACACTTCACTAGTCTCAGTTTCTAGATCTAGTATTCCACCAGCAAAGGTCACTTCAATGTTTAGTAAGGAGAGAGACTGCCAATCTAACTGATTAAAGATACAAATTGCAGTATGGGATAGGATTCAAAATATGGAGGAAATTCAGCAGATACTTAGTTAAATATGCTGTAATGGTTTTCAGGTAAATGTACTGGAGTTTTTGAACAAGTTGTTCTCCATTATCAACATCACTTCGACATTTTGAGGGACTGATCACCTAAATCCCTTCAGAATATCAGATTTTCTTTCATGTATCAGGAACAGCTTGTTTTTGTCAGGTTTTACTTTTGTTGAAAAGAAGAAATGTACTGGCTAATGTCAAAAGGAAAATTAGATAAGCTGATGCAAAAAGTTTCAAGGAAATCAAGGTGATGCCCTTAAAAAATTACTTTGAGAGTTTTTCTACATATTTGCTGGGCAAGTTCCCTCTGTTACTTGTAAATTCTCTCCTTTCATCATTTCCCTGAAGCCCAGACAGTTTCATTGGTTCTGACATAGAGTGAACAATTGAAAACATTCTTCAGTAGAGAAATATTCCAAACTTCACTTTCACAGTTGAAGGTATGAGGAAAAAAAAAATAAGATGGTTTTAGGCAGCGAGACGTGAAGGACAAGTGGTAGGCCTGTCACAGCTGCTGATAGCTTGGCGATGGTTGTACATCATCTTCCCTCTGTTGGCTCATGGGCCTGTCTCAGCTGAAATGCAAACGTGCAAAATGACACGTTTATTTCTCAGCTTAAACCTTGGTACTTCCAGGCTTCCCGTGCATCAATGATTTGTTTCGTTCCACAGATGTGCTGCCACCAGTGCCAGGGCAAGGAGATAAAACTGCTACCATGCTTTCTGATGGAGCCATTTACAGCAGCATTGACTTCACCACCAAAACCAGCTACAACAGCTCCAGCCAAATAACTCAGGCTACGCCATATGCCACCACTCAGATCCTGCATTCCAACAGCATCCACGAGCTGGCTGTCGATTTACCAGATCCGCAGTGGAAAAGCTCAATTCAGCAAAAAAATGACCTCATGGGATTTGGTTACTCTCTCCCAGACCAAGGCAAAGGCAACAATGGTAATTACAGCTCTTATTTTCCAGAGCCCTTGGCTTTGTGTACTGTATCATCTGTGCATGAATTAGAAAATTCTTTTTAGCTCTGTGAGACACTGTTCGTGTTGACCTGAACTAATGCTTGCATGCATGCTGAACCTCACCTGATCACAAAATACATTGCACTGTGCTTTTAATGCTCTTTGTCCTGTGCTACTCACCAAGCCATCCACCTTCCATTAGGCTAGGGTAGGTGTACCTTTAAAAATAACCAAGTTAAAACCTGCCACGCCACCCCATCTGCCCTTGACTTGCTAACTGCATGTGTCGCATGTGCTTGTGCTGTCGACTAATCCCACGATGCCACTGTGACCTCTGCCGTTTAACCCTTAGCCTTGCTTTACATCCCTGACTACCGGGTGGCTGAGGGACTGGCTAATAGATTGCCACACAACCAGTCACAGGATTTCAGCACCACCAGCTCCCACAACAGCTCCGAAAGGAGTGGCAGCCTCTCAGGTTGGTTCCATCGCCGTGCGTAGGGGAGCGAGGGACGGAGGGGTGTTGGCGAGCGGCTCGCCAGGGAGGCAGAAGACCTCCCAGGCACCACTTGAGGATAACCATGAGAGTTCCTGCCCATCAGCAAACAATGCCACCTGGGAGACTCTACTGAAACAAAAAAGCCTTTTGCAGGACCTACTTGGAGATAACTGGAGAGTCCTTCCACGTGGTGCTTGTCAGCACAGCTGCCAGCCTCGCCTTGTCACATCCTTTCCCAGGCACCAACAATGGAGCAAATGTATTTCTGCATCCACCCTCAGTTTATAGGTCTCCCCACACTGAACTTCATGAGGACATAATTTTTTTTACTGAGTTGTTAACACATCCCCCACTCCCATGAGCTGTTTCTAAATGCTGTTCCTCAGTGAAGCAGCTTGGAAATAGTTGTAGGGCCCTGAAAGATGACTGGAGTTTCAACAAATTGTGCCAAATCTGCATACAAACAGGATGTAAATTTTATGTGTGTGCTGCATGTTCTGTTGGAAACATGATGCATTTTCATCAGATGAAAATGATCATAGTACATGTGGTTGTGTATTATACCTGAACACACCTTTTTTTTTAAATTTTGCTTACTTGTTGCTTATGTTATGTATAGCTTTTTTTTTTTTTTGTCAAGACAAAAACTGAAAAGGCAGCAATTAAGATGAAAATCTGTGATTTCACCTAGCTGAAATATGAGAGCACTGACAGAACTTTTGATACTCAGAATATTTCCACAGCCTTTTGAGTTTCCAGTTTAAGCTGGAGCAGTCCTCCCAGTAACAAACCAAACTTAGAAAAGGCTTCTTGATGTCAATTTAAATGATTATTCAAACTGAATCTAGAGATAAGAAGCCTATGATCATTGACCCATGACTCAAATACCCAAATGTGTTTGCAAGTCTTGTGTTCTCAAGGGGGAACACCAGCTGATTTGGCTGAGACTAAAAAATAGGCTTATGGCATTGTCAGAGAGGTATCTGGAAGCTGAGTTCATTAAATACTTCAAGAAAGGTTCTTGTTCCTTACATGTGAGATATATTGACAACTACCTTTGGAAATCAGCTTGCTCCCCAGGCTGCATGAAAATGCAGAAATTGATGTGCTGAGGCACATATATGTCAGGTATCAGAGGGCTGTATCACACTTTAGATACGTTGACAGCTAAGGCTGCCTAAGAATTTTCTCAGAAAATAGGAAGCGTCACGGGAAAATGCCCGTTGATCAAAAGCTGGACTTTGATCACATATTTCAAATGCAACATATTCTGTTTCTCAGTCAGAAGTGATTTTTCTGATGACACTAGGAAACTTTTGAATATAGTCCATCTTTCTATGGCCATGACACACTTGTTGTGACTAAGGCAGCTCACAACTGGACACCCCAGTGCTCAGATGAGTGTCAGATTATTGGACTGCAGAGTCAGTATTTTGCTCTCCCTTGCCCACTAATTATGCCTGTGATACAGGGTAATTATGTCTGTAATACACAAGAAATTGGGGGAGACCTTCAAATAGTCTGATAATTAGAGCATCATTGGAGTCAGAGACCAGCTTTGATTACGTAGTCCCCGTCAGGGTGAGCAGGGATTTGTTCTCTGACTTCCTTGGTTAGTACTTTAAGTACTACTTATTATTCTGAATAAGTTTCTGTCTCTCTTACATGAATGTCATGAGAATTCCTATCCCACTGTGGAATGGAAAATAGCTAAAACCTCAACTGCTTTATGAGGCAGGGAAATTTTGTAGCTATAGTTTGCACAGATTATGTCTGTACTAGGATCAGCAGCCCAACTGGCAAATCCTTTCTCCAGCACCCGATTCACCTAGAGATTTAAACAATATAATTGAATTTCAGTGTGAGGAGACATTGAAGCATCAAGCATCGTTGCTATGGGGAAACAAGGCTTTAGTGCATCAGTTTTCAAACACAAATGAGGCTTTATGTGTTCAGTGTCTGTCTCACCAGTCTGACACTGGAGTAACTCTGCCCATGGGGACAGAAATTTCCTGCCCAACTGTACTGCGTAGGCTGCTTTCCCTACCAGCAATAACCTTGGAGTTCTTGTCTCTCATTTCTTCATCTAAACAAGTCCCTTGTCTCTCTGCTTCACTCCTTCTAATATCTCCACTATCTCTAATTTCTCTCTTGGGAGCTCCCGAAATTCAAGTGACTCCCATACTAGCACCCCACACGTCCAACCCACATTTTACCAGTCTCCTAAGATTATCAAGATGCTACTTCCAAAATCTTCCTCTCCACCTCAACTAATCTCTAAGGTGAAGTTGTTCTTTGCATTTCCTTTCTCCGTGTATTCCTCATTTAAATCCTCCTGCAACACAAAAACACATGCATGTGCTTTTCTCCTAAAGCAGTTCCTCCTGCCTTAGTTCTTGTTGACTCCTACCCCTGCTGACTTTTAAAAAATTTCCCCATGTCCAAATTAAAATTAACGTACTACCTTTGCACTGTTCAGTGATCCTATTTCTAACTCCACTCTTTTTGCCTTACCTGTGTTTTGAAAGCTTCATTTTCCCTCCAGAAGGTTCATGTATTTGTTCCTCTACCTCCATTGTCACTAGGGTTTCTTTTCACTGGTGGAAATGTTCTTTCCCTTTTCAAGAAAGCTGCCCTCTCTGCTAGGCTACAAATGGAAGGAAGAGCCCGTTTTCCATCCTAATAGAAGTAATATCAGCTCAGTTCACACATAGGGAATGGCAGGATCTTGGCTGGACTTACCATAAATACTCCAAAGCAAGGAAGGAAGAGCTCTGGTCTGGAATTCAGTAGTGGAAAGCAAAGTGCTTCCAGCCAGGTCAATTAGAAACATTACTGGGCCTGTTGCCTGTCTCTAGCAGGCACAACAGGAGGTAAAAAGAGAAGTCTTGGCTACTTCTGAGTCATAGAATCACCTTTTTCTTCCCTCTCTATTTATTCCTGTTTTCATCCAGCTGACGTTTGGAGGTAGCAGAAGAAAGCCACCATCTCACAGACAAAAAAAAATCCCATGATAGGAGCTTGTCTCTATTGCTAGAATTGCACTTCTTTCCTTGTTTCTCTCTGCCTGAAGTTAGAGCCATGGCAAAGAGGGCAGTCCTAGCCAGTGCACATTGTGCCACCCTCCCTGGCCAGTCAGTTGTGGTTTTCTTGATTCATTGATTCATTTTTACATGTGAAGTTTTTTGGCTGATCTTTATAAATCATCAAGAGATGTCAGTGGACGAGATTGATTAGACTGTGCTTTCTACAGCAGGCCAGGGATGAGTGAGAGCACTCCCACTCAGGGTACCCCACTGAAAAGGCATCTGACAAACTATTTTTCCACCCAACAAAGAGTTTGAAAGCCACAATGAAACCCCAAAAAATAGATGGGTCCCCAAGCAGTCAAGGGATTCAAAATGTTGTGCTATTCTTCCTCTGAATGAATTCCTGACAGGAAAAAGAAGTCAGGGCTAAATGAAAGAAGCAAAGCAAGTGGGATGAGAGCTTTCTCTGTAAGATCACTCTCCCACAAATAGAAGTGTCTCAGCTGGAGAAGTGGATGCAAGGACAATAAGAGAAGAGCAGAGGGTTTAACCAAAATGTGTTACTCACTTCGTTTCTACCTCATCCATTAGAGCTGTAGATCAGAAATAGAACCTCTTCTCCATAGTGACACAAGATATATGAATCCTGTGAAACAGTCAGTCCTAAAACGTTGCACATGACTTCCTACTCTTTAAAAAAAACCCCAGAAATTAGGAAATTCCTATCAGCAAAACCCTGTTTCTTTTGTTTTGACGATTTACTCTTGTCTTGAAAGTTCTTGACTTCAATGACAATGTTTTTGCATGGTACCCTTAACTTCTTTCCACAGAAAGTGATTATACGAAACTGTGTTATAACCATGCTGGATTCCGACATTTGAAATAATTTGCTGTTTTATGATAATTTTATCTAAGACAGAATTCAAGAAGTTATAAAGTGCACATGAATAAATCAGGAAACATGTTTCTTATACAGGAAAACCTGAAAACCTGTCTTTCCTTGTTTATGCACTACTGTGGTACAGAGGTTTAAAAAGAAGTGATTTTCAGTAAATATTGGGAATATTTTCCCATACCATTCTATTATTACTTATAACCTCGTTCACATCATTAGCACGTTGATGCTGATTCTGCTGAGATATAAATAAGTCTTATTTTTTGTGGCATATGCTCTGGAATCAGAACTCTGTCAAAGAAATGTAAATAGCTGGCTTTTTTTTTCCACATTATAGCTCTAATTTTTTTTTTTATTTGCAGGTGGCAAAGGAGGGAAAAAGAAGAAAAACAAAAACACTGCCAAGCCCCAGAAAAACAATGGTTCAACCTGGGCCAGTGTCCCTCTCCCACCCCCTCCTGTGCAGCCACTTCCAGGCACAGAGCTGGAGCACTATGGGGTGGATCAGCAAGAAGCAGGGTAAATTTTTTTTTCTTTTTCTTTTGAAGAAAAATCTGTGATTTGCAGAAATGAGTCCTTTTCTATTTTTTTTTTTGTTAATTTTGCTAAGTGAAAATATTATTCTGTTTTGTTTGAAAAAAAAAAGAAAGCGAGAACACCTTATCCTGTAGACTTATTCGAGGCTATGGAGGAGGAATATTTGAACAGCTCCTCTGGATAGTGACTGAAGATGGAAACAAAAGTGACCTTGCTTCATCATCATGTAGGGCTTCAATGCTTTCTCATGCTGAGAAGTATCTCACTTCACAGGTAGCTTAATTGAATTCTGGGATTGCATGCAGCTGATGGGACTCACAATGAGTAAGGATGACATAATCTGGCTCTGTGTATTTTTTCACTGCTTTGATGTTTAAATATATTAGAGCCCACAGGACAAAAAAAAATCCCCACCAAATTGGATTAATTTTTGAAGATCTACCAATGGATAATAATCTTCTCATCGGCTTTTAGAAGAAATTTCACACTTGAGGAAGGCATGCTAATTATAGGCTTTTTTTGTTATTACTCAAACAACTTTCAAGTTTCTGGAACCTTCCACATAATTTTGCATAGCTCAAACTTGTTCTCAAGGACACAAAATCACACAAGAAGCACTAAATGAGAGGAAAGAGACATTTCCTACACAGACAACAATTATGAAATGCTTTTTATAAAGTGTTATTATGTGATATACCAGGTTATCAAACTCTAGCGGTAAATCAGAGTATATGAAAACATAATTTACTGTGGGTAGCTCTGTTGGAGCCTTTGAGAATAATTGTTCTATCAGGGACAAATTTCTGTTTGTTTCAATACATGGATTAATCAATATTTCCTAAGGATGAAACATTTTTAAGAATACATTGTAATAGCTTTACTGAATAAAAATATTCCAATTGTTATCTCAATTGTAAATGTGAATTGATCATTACTACTTTCATAATTAAAGTTAGAAAAATTCCATATTATTTCAGTTTATACCAACTCCTTTGACTCTTAAAATGAGCAATAAATTACTGTGTTAGTCAGTGAAGTTCTTTTTAAAATTAAGGCCCATTCAGGCTGTATTAGAGTTAGAATTTCAAAGTGATGGAAAATGAATAACCTTACTGATTGTGAGTGTTGTTTAAATCTCAAGGCAAAAAGTTCATATAATTATTGTCTTCTGTATTCTGTTATAAGAAGCTAAAATAAATTTAAAATTGTTTCACCATATAATAATTTTGTCTTTATCAGTTTATATCCTTAAAACACATGTGCAGCCATTTCACTAAAACAATTATACAATAGAAGGCAAACCACTTGGATTTTCTTCAGAACAATGAAATAGCATTAAAGGTAAATGGAAATACCTTCTAGAGAATCCCTTGTGACACAGGGCTTGACTCCTCAGTTGCATAAAGCATCTGTGATTTAGCTGGAAGGAATGATGTTGGTCACCAAGACAACATTGGTTATTTAAGGAGAAGGTAATCACCAGCCTCCAGGTTCACAACCATTCAGACTTAGCTTTTCCTCTGATTATGTTTTGAATTACTCTTCTCTGGTTTTTGTAATGTCTCATTAGTGGTGGTAGCAAGACCTTGTGATATGTATTTTACCAAACACAGAAAAAATGTGAAGGTTGGACTTAGAGTCTCAGTCTGGAGCTCCAGTAATTTGCAACCACCTTTGATGAAGACTGAATCTGCCATGCCCATACTTTCTCAGGATGCTTCCAGTACTAATGGTCCTTCTGTATTTAGGGGTTGATCTTGTTTCTATGGTTTTCAACACGCTAAAAGGGAAAGAATCATAGACTACAGTCCTTAATGTTGCCTTTAACATGGACATACTGGGTTAAAAAAGTGCCACATTTTTAAAACTCTCTTCTTCTTCGTTTGTTTTGATTGACTCTACCTGTGACAAGTTCAGAGTGTTTTAATTTTAGAATTAGTTACATGCAAATGTAATTATATTATGAATTACAACTGAAAAATGAGCTTTCAGTCAGAAAAACTGAACACTTTAATGAAATTCTCACAATATGATACAAAATATAAATGTTTAGAGCAATAAAACAAGGAGGCCGGCGTCTAAACAGAAACTTGTTTTTCTGTGTGTCTTATAACAATTAAATTCAAATGTGAGATTCATTGGCATGATTATCACCAAAAAACTCAGAAAAATTGTCGCCTAATTTTGCTTACTAGAGATTAGTACTAGTGGCCTTATAAGCACTAGTAGACTTCTAAGTTGCAAAAGATAATCCACAATAGCAAGTGATATTAGAAAAACCCAAAACACCTAACTTAACCTGTCACAGAAAAAATACACTCAGTTTTCTGTACCATCTCCGTCCCAGAGGCACTAGGGTCGGTGTTTGCCTCCATTTTTCCATAAACTGCAGAAGGAAAAGTGAATATCTTGCTCCAACTAGCCCTGTTATATAATATGGTAGCTTTGGGGATCTTTTAGATTCCTGTTTAACCTCAGCAAAGAGCCTGTTTGTGCCAATTAAGTTTCTCTTTTCCTATAGTAGCTGACATGCTCCCTTTCCCACCCTTTGCAGAGAAAATGATTTTGCTTGATTTTATGTAAACTTGACAGTAAAGAAATGCTTGTTTCTTACTCATTATCTTTTATTTTGATTTTTTACCAATAATATGCATGATCTTGAGCCAACCCAGTAAAGGCAGCATATTGTTATTTAGTTATTTCTATTTCTTGCTATCGATTATACCTCAGAATGGAATATTAGCTGCTGAATGTCAATATATTTGATACTTGTTGTCTGTCTTTAGGAAAAGTAAAGGAAATAGTACCTTTTACTTCCAAAGTCCTTTCTGGTGAGCTCCAGGAGGGAAGCTGCATTTGTTGCAACAGTATGTGTAATGAAATACAGTTTCTACAGAATGTACCCTATATCTATCACCTTTATTTTATATTTTGAAGGAACAAACCTATTAGTGAAATGACTCAGGCTTTTTAATAGTAAAAGATTACTCTAAAAGTGCTGACAATGCAATAAAACTTACTAGAAAAATAGAGGCTCATGTTTGTTAACCAGAACTTATTAGGGTCTTGATTATAATGAAATTACAGTCAGAGGTCGCTAATGAAGTTAAGGCACTTAGATTTCAATAAGTGTACTTGAAAAAAGTTGTATTTTCACCACATTGTATTTACTCAGAAAATGAAAAAGGACATGGATGTGGCCAACAGTCACTGTGTTGGTACCAGATGTTTCTATAACTGTATCACTTATGTGACATTTAGTTACTGTGTAGTCTGGTAGATTTGGGGGAATTTTGTTTTATTTTGGTTTTCGCTAAAATAAAGGTTAGGGCTTATAGCTTTTCAGCCGCCTTACATTAAGAAGACAAAGGTTCTTGTACCTGAAATCTTGAATCTCAATGTCCTGAATTTCAGGCTTAGGCTGCTTTCCATTTCAAACAAAATTTGGGTTAATATACGGTACTTGTGCAGAAACTTTTCACCAAGAAACCTCTTTACTAAAATACCTTTCTGCTATGAAGCTGAACATTTGGGGATTTGAAGAGAGCAGGGTCAGAAGGCGAGCACATCCAAAGCTCGTTTATTCATCACTGAAAAGTCACCAGGGAGTGTCTTTTTCCCCTGTCCCTTTTAAAGAAGAACCCATTATAGCAAAGCATGAGGTTGAGAGAGCAAAAGGAAGCGAGAGAACTGTTGCACTGCACATTTTTAGCAGCATGATTTAGGATGGTCCCTTCAGCCTTAGTTGCAAATATCCTGAGTAAAGATTATTTGGAAAGACAAATTACAGCTGGCCATATCTTAATTGTTTGCTAAGGATCAGTCTGCATCATGTAGCATTTTCTTAAATCTCTGTGTTATGAAAATGGTAATGATCAATCACTCAACCTCTCATAGAGGCCAGATGTTGAGAAGCAGCCTGTTTTTTCACTTCTGTGCTCATGTGTGTTTGTGTCTCTATTTATGGTTTTATCTACATATATAGAGATTTAAATTTATACTAGTATTAATTACCAGATATATCTTCCATGGACTTTTGGATGATTAAGTCAGATTGCTTTAGCTGTCCTGAATCTGTGCATTTAAATACAGACTGCAGACTTCTGAATAAGGAAACAGTAGTTTAGTTAATTTAAGGAATCTTTGTTTTTTGCTGAAAGTAAATGTTCTGTTCATAATACAGGTTTTGCAACCTCTCTATCTCAGTGTTCCCAGCCTTTTTATGACCTGGCTTCACACTTGAGAAAATTGACAGTAATTCATTTTTCTCTAGGAAATTGGTAAATCCTTCCTTCCAAATCAGAAGCTTTAAAGGAGTATTTTTAAGCTGGTTTGAAAAATTAACTGTATAGCGCAATGCATTGCCTGCCTGCATTGCAGAAAAAAGGACCTTGTCAGCAGTCCTTGAAGGTGGAAAGAAGATAAAGTGACTTGGATGATGCTTGGGAAATGGCCTTTAGAGTGTGTGATGGTTTGACAGTGAAGGAGCTGTGCTTGTGGTTGTCTGGTTGCTTTTTAAAAAGAAAAGGGAAGAAAAAAAGCCCGAAAAAAACAAACCAGCTGTGTATCCTGAGTTGTTTTGGAATACACCAGGAGTTAAGAAGAAATGTGTGCTGATGCTCAAGGGACTGATGCCTGACTGGTTGTTTTGAAGATGGAAAAGTAGACAGCTGAGATTTGAGTGGTGTGATTGTCAGCAAAGCTGCATACAACTGAAGTTCTGTTCAGATTAGGGAATTACTCTGGGGAGATAATGCACAGGGAATGACCACAGTCACTAAGGCCTATCCACCTGGAATGATGCCAGAGTCTCTTAGGGACAGCATCCCAGGATGATACTATAATACAACACTGAATTCAAAGGTCCTCTGATGAGTACAGAGACTGAAAAGAATTGACTTGCTGGAAAAACTTGCATAAGAAGTGGTAATAAAATATAAAGCTTTTGTTTCTAGCACCACCCCTTACACCTTTGATATAAGGCAACAAAAACCACAAACTCTACCAGGACACCTCTTATGTCTGAAGAGAGAAGAATTTGGTATTCAAGAATGCTCCTAGTGGTTTAATCTTTCCATTTACTTTGGGCAGGTGTGTTGAAAGTGTTCAGAAATGTAATGCTGTCTAGGTAAGTCCCAGTACAGATTGGTTAGGAGGTGGGGTGCTGGCAGAGCTGTCAACATGTGTGCTAATGTACCTTATCAGCTGGTGCTGTGACACAGCATATGCTTGGGGTCAGTGCTGCTGTGACATGGATATATTGCACATCACAGGAGATGCCCATGTGCAGGCTGGGAAGACCAGAATTTATGAGGAAAATGTGGCTTTTTATTTAAGCTCCAAACCAGAAACAAATGGTAAATTTATAGAAGTAAATGGATAATGCTCTTGGGCTCATAGTGTGACTCTTGGGGATGGTGCTGTGCAGGTCTTGGTAATCTTTGTGGATCCCTTTCAACTCAGCTTTCTCTGGGATTCTGTGAAATAAGTGCATAAGTGCTACTACATAAAGCTTGCTCTACCTTTTAAGAATGCTGCTATTTTCATGTCCAGGTCAATATTCATTCTCCTACATTAATGATCTTGGAAGTGAGCTAGTTCATTTTTGTTGTTGATTGTGGTGTAACATTATCTAATCACCATTAACGAATGTGATAATGGGCCAGTAATTTTTCTGTTGCATATCTTGTTCAAGTTGCTTAGCTGTTGTGGGAAAAATTAAACTGACTCAGTAAGGACAATCTAAGCAATTATTACCCTATTTTCATTAAATTTTAGAACTCACACTGTGTGAAAGGTTTCCAACTGTAGCAGAAATCTTGTATACCCTCTAACCCCCTACTGTGCAGCAGAGATAAGTTTTGACATACACTAAGTTTATTTGGTTTTTATTTTAGATATGACAGTGATGGTTGGTGTCCACCTTTGCCGGTTCAGACCTACCTGCATCAGGGCATGGAGGATGAGCTTGAAGAAGATGATGATCGTGTCCCCACACCTCCTGTCCGGGGAGTAGCTTCATCTCCTGCCATCTCCTTTGGGCAACAGTCGACTGCAACCCTCACGCCTTCCCCACGAGAGGAGATGCAGCCAATGCTTCAAGCTCACCTTGATGAGTTAACAAGGGCTTACCAGTTTGATATAGCAAAGCAGACATGGTAAATGTTTGAAGGGGCCACCTCTGATCAGGGGGAAAAAAAAAAAAGAAATAATGATAATTTCTTTTTGACATAAATAATAACTGTGTTCAGCAGTATTTCCATTATGTTTCCAAAGAAGTAAAATGGAAGAAGAAATAGCAGAACTCTATTGGAAAAAGTAGCAGAACTACTTCCAACACAGTTGGAAGGCCTTACCCATCCTTATGTGCTTTTTAAATCATAATACTTGGTAATATGCTAAATTTTGTCTAAAAACATGTAAAAACAATATTTCTCCAAAATTTTGCACATGTTCAGCTAAGTAGTTAATACCCTCCTCTTGGCAGCATTTATACAGTGAGAGTCCTCTCTTTTCAAGCCAGCAGAAGACAGGAATTTTTTAGGATTTTCAAAAATAATAAAGATTCTGAATTCCTGATTAAACATAATTATAATTGAATATAATATAATTATAATATTATAATTGAAATAGCAATGTAGCAGCTTTTACACTAAGTCACATGAGACTGAAGTATTTGCATCTCTTGTACTTTGACCTACTATGAGAATTTATGACTCATAGGAAAAACCCAAAAACAGCAGAAAGCAAGTTGTTAGTATTTACAGGATGGATCTAGTGTTTCAGAGTGCTTTATGCCTATTTAAAGGAAGAGCAAGCAAATACCACAGTAACATTTCCCCTGCATAACAAACAGAAGCAGTATCTTCAGGGACTGAAAAAGAACTTGTCAGCCACACCAGGCTGGGGATGTGGTGAAGGTCAGTTGCTTCCTGGATGCTCCCTGAGCAGCAGTTGTCCTTTCAAACTCTGCTACCCAGACAAAGCCCGCGACTCTCGGCGGAGCAGAGCGGAGCTGGTTACTGAATGGCACGCTGCCAGCAGAGGAGCAGCCTTTCTTCCCTGCTAAATAAAGCCACCAAGTTATTCAGCTTGAGCTCCCATAAATACATCAGGCAGGTAGGCAGGCAATGCCAAACCAAAGCCAGCTGTTTTCCCTGGACGCCGTGAAAGCCTCGGGGCTTGTCTGCAATCTGCACTCAATCAACAGGGTACCTCGGTCCCTCTGCAGCAACACACTGCCAAGCACCGAGCCCAGCCTGCCTGTGGGACAGCCCCAAATCCCAGGCAGCAGCTAGACCTGGCCTGTTGAAGGTACTGGCTTCTGAGCCAGCACACAGATGCACACCCTGCCAGCACAGGCAGTGGCTGCTGCACCGTGCAGCTGTTACCCTTCCTACGCCCTCCAAACCTCCTGACCAGTCCAGGCATGGGTAAATGGAGCAGGACGCTGCACCAAAGCCTCGTGCAGCTGGCAGGAAAGGTCTTGATCCCTTTTTGGAGAAATGAAAATTGATTGGGAACTTTCATAATGTGCTTAGGATTATACAGATTTTAATGTCGCTCTTGTGTAAGGTCACAGTAATTGAGCCTGAAACTGAAAAAACAAAACAAAACAAACAAGGACATAACCTTTTTTCATACCTTTTGGGTATTGAGCTAAATGCTGAGGGAGATTTTTGCAGACAAATAATTTTTTAAAAAATTTATTTTTATAAAATAATTTTAAATTATTTTAATGGAATTTTTTAACATACTTTTGTTGTTTGGCGGGATTTGTATCATGCTAGTCAAAGGTAGTAGAAAGCCCTCCTTGTTTTGACTGGGAAGGAGTATTTATTAGTCTTCTTTTCACTAAGTTAACCTGTCCATTGTAGAGACGGGAAAACTGAACAGCAAAATGAGGCTTGTCAGATAGGTTACTGTGGGAGTAGCAACTGAGAAATACAGAGATCAGCCAACTAGGAATTTAAGAAAGAGCCCATTAGAGATTACTGGAAAAGTACATAATCATTATGGCCTTGATCCAGCAAATCACTTAAGTATATGCTTAACTATGAGTACATGAGAAATTGACTTCAATTGTTCTATCACAAGCTTAACATTAAACATATACTTAAGCATTTTGCTTGATTAGGAGCTAATCACACTGTTTATTGAGGGTTAGTTGGATGGTGGTGCCCTTTAGTGCCCCAGTGTTTTGAACACTGCGTAGAACATTAAAAACCTGGTGTCCAGGCAGAAAAGTGTTCAATAACTGTTAATCAGAAGGGGGTTGTGTGTCAGAAAGGAAGCACTTGTTCTGGAAATTAGATTCAGAATCAGCAGTAAGTTAAAACCTACAATGAGGTGGAGAAAGTGGTATATAACATTTACCATGACTTTCTCATATCTGATAGATTTACATTATGAATTATTGAAAAAAACAAAACAACTCATTGAATAAAGAGAATTCATTCATGTAGGATGTGGGCAATAATTCAGCACAAAATTTCCACTGAAAATGTATTATAGCTGGGAGCCAAACAGGTGACAATTGTAATTTCTTCAGTTTTACTGATGTCCAAGCAAGAGACCAGCAGAATCCTGGATCCCATCCAGAGTGCTGCCGATTCAAATCAGGTCATGGCACCTCATGCAGAGACACCCAAGGATTCCCAAGTTAGCAGTTTCAAGCATGGTACATGCTCTTGTGCCAAGGCCAGTCGTGCCTGGCTCCCCTGGCACAGCTTGCTGTGTACCTGTTGTGCTGTGAGGAATGCTGCTCTGAAAGCTGATGGTGTTCTTTTCTCTCAGAGACCAGGCGAATCAAACTCTGAATCCCATGCTTGCCTTTGGCCATTTAGCTATTCTGTGGGTGGCTTTTTGTCTTCTTTTTTCTTTTTTTTTTCTTTTTATGTGATTGCTGCATGCAGTAATTTCACACATGCATGCCCTAATGCTGCTGCAATTAAATCAATTAAACTTCTTGGAATAAAGCAAAATGAAAAAGCCTCGCTGATGATGCGTTAATTGGACTTGAAAATTTCTTCTGTCCTACTGGCCATTTCCTCCTCTTTAGGGTGATTTTTGCTTCAGGCACTGCATCTGTTTAAGCGGAAAGAGTGAGATTTAACTTTGGTTCAGTGTGTGATTTGCAAGGGGGAATATTGGGTGAGATACTTACATGCTAGGCTGGGATTCAGAATTGTGTTTTTCCATGGCTTTCCTACCTGATTTATGTAGCCTCTGTATCTATTGTTCTTAATCTGTGGGAAGACAACCCTGACGTTCCCCATTCTAGAGGATTTCATCTTTATTCTTTTTATTTAAGACTGGAAAGTGTGCAGGCACTTTGGTATTAGAAGCTGTGGTGAATAACTGGACTGACTTTTCTTGATTTTGGCCTAACCGAGCACATTTTGTAAATCTACTTCAGGACTTGTTGAAAGGCTTGTGTTTTATTGACCATGGGCTGCAGAGTCTCATCCATTCTGATAACTTTTCCTGTTTGTTTGTGTAGGCACATCCAAAGCAATACACAACCTCCTCAGGCTCCAGTTCCTCCCCTAGGATACGTATCTGGAAACCTTATTTCAGATTTGGAAACAGATGTTCCAGATGACGATGATGATGAGGATGATCTTGAAGAAGAAACTGTAGAAATCAGTAGGCCACTAAGAGGTCTAGAGCATACTCCAGGCTCCAGTATGGACAATCTAGACAGCTCTGTGACAGGTAACCAAACACAGTGACACCAGCTTGTTACTACCAGTAAGATACATCACCATTTGGACACTTGCTAAATGAAAATTTATTCCACTCGGTTTCTGTAACATTTAAAATGTTAATACTAAACACTAAAGTTTAAGAAGGATTTGGAAATACTTTGCTTTGCTGCAAAATGATAAGGAAATTCATGAATTTTAAAAAGCTTTAAAGACTTGAAAGAAAATTCAGTTATATCCTAGCTTTCATGAAAGGTTCATTCTACTAGAGAAGCAAGGCAGTTGCATAAAAAGGAGGGGGAAGACCTCAGCTTAGCAATATATATTTCATAAATCAGGAGCAGCATAAAAATGCTATCTTAAAGCACTTTTAGATATTCTGCTGGGCAAATGGTTTCCCAGATGAACACAAGGAAGTTAAAGACTTCAGAGTAAGTGTAGCTAGATCACCACAACATTTATTTCTAGAGTAAATGCAACATTTATGTAGGAAAATGTGTATTTAGAACATACTTTGTATTGCTGAATTTAGTAATTGTTTCCTTTTAGAAAAATCTGTTTAATAATTCTGACCCTCCTTCCCTCACTTCTTCCTGTCCTTTGCATGCCTTGGAAAGCTACATCATCATCAAAGGGGACATAGAAAGGCCTGTGGCAATAAACTAATGCACAGAATCTGAATGAATTAAATTGCTGTTGGTGAAATGTAGGCAGTGAAAGACTTTGTTGTTTAAAAACACAGATTTTATATGGTTGTCATGTACTTTTTGTAAGCATCGATGTAGTTCTCTTTAGGTTGAACCAGGGCCTTTATATAATGTACTGTGTCCATCACATGAAGGTGTGCTGGAGACCCAAATATCCCCAATGTCACAGTGGGTGCTGCTTCAGATTTTGATCTCAGCAGGCAAACTCTGATTGCTGGTTTTACCTTAAGGGAGACTTGTTCAGAACAACTTCCTACCATAGCACCGCTGAATTCTTTCTTTGTCTGCACCTCTGCAATTCCAAGGCCTTTGCACTCATACTTAAAGATTGCTATTCTGAAAACACTGCAGGAATATGCCAGTGATGGAGCATCAATACTATCATTTTCTTCCTTGCCCTCATTGAATGAAATAGTGTGTAGCTTAATCCCACCTTCCAGGTTTTCCTTCACCCTAGAGCCAGACTGCTTGCCAATCTAATTAAGATTTAAGAATTGTATCTCTGCTGCTGCAGTTGAAATCCAGATGCAACTGAAGGCCATAGAGTTAAAATCCTTGAATTGAGGAGGTTAACTTTTTAGTGCATGAGTATGTTAACTCACTTTGCTTGAATTTCTAGTGTAATCTCCTTCAGGCTATAATTCTGCATATTTTTGCATATCTCACGAATGGCTCAGAAGCCTTACTGTTAGCAATTCACTAAGAGTTTTGCACTGGTAGAACAGCAAGAAATAAATTTTTTTAAAAATAGGTTGGTATACATTTTTCATTTGGTATATATTAATATGGCAATGCTTATGTATCTGTAAATCAGAAAATGAATGTTTCCACATTTGCATCTTCACCTCTTGGTGAAGTTTGAACTACCCTCCCTAAAGCAAATAAGGAATTATATTCCTTCTCCAAGTTGAAATTTTAGTGCTTATTAAAATCTATACTTTTATGAATAACCTTCAAACTTTTTATAATATTTAAAAATCTTGTTTAATTTTTGGAGTGTTAAATGTCTAATTGCTGAAGTGTTAAAGACTTCTTGATATTTTTGAAAGAAATTGGGCAGAACTTGATATTGTAGACTGGGAGTATACTTAAGGTGATCTAAATACACTTCCTCTCATCAGCACCACTAACTCCATGTAGCCTCATGCAGCTGAAAATTAAGGGTTTTCTTTTGCTTTTACTTGTTTAATTACTAGCTGTATCTGTTCCTTGCTCTGGTTCACTGCATGGCAAGATGTGTGCTGGCACTGCAGGAAGGGAATGTGTAGCTAGAAGGGAAACAAACTTATAAACTGCCCCTATAGCACCTAGCCAACATTTAGACTGACTTAATTAAGGAATGATAGTCTGACAGAAGTACACCCAGAGTGTTAGCCAAAAAGGTCTGTAAGATGGCAAAATCTCCAAACAATTAAACTATTTCTGTTTTCCTCAGTCAATATATGGGTAAAACCTTGATTTTTGAATAGTTTGTATTTAGCTTAGTTTTTTCCTAAGGGTGGAAAGAAATTGCCTATTATACTTGAGCAAATTTTGTTTTTCAGAAGAGAATTTTAATTTTTGTTCATCTGTTTCTGTTAACTCTTCTAGGCTGTGTTTTATGGTGTTAAGGAGTGTACAGCAAATTGCTTCAGTTGTTCCCAAGCTGTTTCTCATTCTTCAATCTGATTGCTTTTAAAATACTGTAGAACAACTAAATTGTTCTTTCTTGTGCTGAGAATATATAAGCTGCTTCTTTGCAGAGCCCTCGGTGGCTTCAGCCAGCATCTTTCTAGGAATTTATAGACCATGTTTTCACTTCTCTAAACATATTTAGAAATGGAGGCAAATGAGAACAGCTGACCCAGATGAAGCAATATTTCTGTTCATTCTGAAGTGCCCTAGGAGTTCAGTGCTTGTGAGAAATCTAAATTGACAACCCTTGGTCCAGACTTCCTGCAAACAGAGTTGCTGTGGAGGGAGCAGGGCGAGGTTCCTCACCCTGTAGTGTTAGCAAGTCTCAGCAATGCCTCAGAGATACCCACTCCTGGACTGAAAAGGGGCTTTGTTCTTCATGGCTGAGCTGAGAACAAGGATTTCTTGCAGTGCCAAATGTGGGATTCTCCCAGGGGAAGTACTGGCACTGCGTGAGCCAAAGCACAAACTACTGAATCCCTCTGACACCACAGTGCTGCTCCTTTAAACTATTTAAAAGTCAAGTTGTCTTCCAGGCCCTTGAGTTTTAGTCACAGCTAACTGAAGATTCAGACAAGGATTTAATCTGCACTATTAAGCTTTTCTCTTTGCAGGTGGCAGAGACATAATGTTGATGTGTATAATAAAGTGAAAAGAAAGGAGGAGTGCACAGGAACTGTATTTTAACATTCTCCAGATATCACAAAGAGAACTCAAAGAGGAAGGTTTAGATTAGCACATTTGTGGGAAGAAATATGAAATTAAAGACAAGGTTTTGCTTTATTCCCAGTATGGTTTGTTAGGATATTGAGTTACTGAATCTGCTTAAAAAAATAGAAAGAAGGAGTCTAAAAACACTGGTAAAAATTTTTTTCTCATTTGACTTTTAATTCATTTAGGGTTATTTTTTGCTTTCAGAGACACATTGAAATATGCTTTTTTTCTTTCTCTTATGTTTAATGTTTGCCTTTATAATGAATTGCTGTGCAGAGTTATGACATGAATGGCCACAAAGAGTCCGTTGCATTATTCTACTTTAATAGACTTAATTAATTGCATATGATGACTGTAGAAGAAAGTAATTTGCTTCTCACTGAAATCACTAAGAGCAAGCCTAGGTTTTTTCAGGTCAAATTGTTATGGTTTGGGGTTTTCTTTGCCCTCTCCTTATCTCCTCCTCCTCCTGCAGCACCAGTGAAGTTGGTAGTGAGAGCTGTTGTATCTTCAGTCCTGGTGCATTTTGACTGAGGGAAGACTTTGACTCATTAACTAGCATAGAAATTAGAGCTACCTAACTGATAGAAACTGATATAAACAGCGAGATATTCTTGTAAACAGTGCCTCAACAAATGGGTAGCAATTTTTTTTTCAATAGAGTTATATAGATCTAAATTATAAAAATCTTTGTAGATTGTGTAGCTCAGCAAGGAAGAATATCCCTTATTTGACATGTTTTGGTCTTGATTAAAAGACTCACTAATCACTGTCTATATGGAAAAAAGATGTTCCTTCACTGTGTCTGAACACAAATGGAATAATTCTCAAAAACTGCACAATATCATTTTCATGAACCATATTTTACCATGGCAGGGCTCAATATTTGTATTGATTTGCTTAGGGATACCTATTGCAAAGGATTCTATTTTATAAGCAGATAGACAGATTGCATTTAATAGGAAGAATGTGCTTCATGGATTAAATATGTGCTCAGAAAATAGGAAACTGCTACTTTTTGTATCTCATAAAAATGGTAATGCAACAATTAGCAGGGTCATATTATAAAGCACAGACTTTACTCTAGCTTAATGGATCTAGGGATATGCATTCATCAGCAACGATAGATTTAGCATAAAATGACATGTAAATGAATTGATGACTGATCATAAATTAATTTTAGTGCTGAAGAAGTAATAGAGACACAGCAAGTTGCCACTTTATCATAGTGTTTTACTGCTCAGCAACATTTGAGCAACTACTTAATGTTCTATGTGCATTTCTTTTCTAACAGCTTGAATAAATTTGAGATTTTTTTGTGCCTTTCAGCAATATGGAAACCAAAAAATCTAGAAGGATAGAATGCAAACAGAAATAAATTTGGCTAAGTGACATAAATTCATTTTTCATTAGATGTTTATGAAGGTCATTAATTATCATCAGACCTGTGAAGTGCTGAATATCTACCTATGGTTTTTTCTTCCTCCTTTTTTTAGTGTTTTCTGCCCAAAAATAAAACATTTACAACTTACAAGTTTATTCCAGGTGTATACATTTAAATATATGGGCATTTATGGTGCAGGAAAGTAAAAAACAAAGTCTAGTTTCTGGAAGTGTGATCATATTTAGATTCTGCATTCAAACACTTATATTACTCTTCCTTATTTTGATGGTACAATGACTATTGCCCCTTCTATTGTGTCACTTCCACCAAAATCAGTGGGCATTCTTGCTGTGTAATCATGACAGTGGTCAGACATATCCAAGAGAGGATAATATCTTTCTCCTGGACGAAGGCTAAAAGAATTCTGTAACTGATTTCAGCTGAAGCAGCGTCAGTCCCCAAGGATGTCACCCACACTTCAGAAACCTAGGCAGTCTATCCCTGTTCCATTAAAAAACTGCAGAGGAGCAGGGGTTTAATATGAATATGTGCTGGATGGTCTTGTAAAGGAAAACACAAGAAGTAAGCACTTAGAGGTTGGTAGATGCAGAAAAGTATCTAATGGAATTCTCAGAAGTACCAGGTTTGTTGTGAGCAGCTTTATTTCACAGGTGCATTAGACTTTTTTTATTAGTATTTTTAAGAAAAGCAACAGTACACTTTACAAAGAAAAATAGCATTTTTATTGCCAGCAAAATGCCCTTAAAAGCAGTAGCATGCAGTCTACTAGAAACTGGCACCTCTGTTTCCCTCACCTTTCCATGATAGCAAAGAAGCTTTCTGTTTGCATTAGCACCAAGAGATATTTTATGGAACAAGGAAACAGAGTTCAACTTTTCACAGGGCTGATTTTGTTCTGCATAAAGCATTTACTGCTGCTGTCAGCAAGAGTAAAATTTACAGTTGCCAGAAAGCGTAAAAACTCAAATGTGCTCTTGGAAAACACATAGTGAGCTGCATGTAAAGGAGACACTAAAAGCCTGTTTCATCCCATTTCAAAATGCACAGTTGATCTGAAAGGAACGTCAGCATCTCTTATTCTGCCTTTATTCAGAGAAAAGCAAATGTGCATCTGATTTGGAAAGCAAGACCGCTTTAAACAAGCAGTCACCACGTGTGCTGTGTTCACACAGCTGCGGGGTGGCCTGAGGTGCCCAGGCTGGGCTCCAGCACTCCCATGCCTTCTGGGCAATGTCTACACCTCTGCAGGTCAGAGCAAAACGGGATTTCCTGCTGCAGCTTTTGCTGGGGAAAAGAAATTTTTTATGCAGGGAAACTGAATAGCTCAGGAATCAGTAGAAATAATGTAGAGATTTTGCCTTTAGCTCCTGGTGACACACAGCTGTAGGTTTCAGCATGTTTTGCTGACTTCAGCACCTAGAAGAAGTTTCTGTATAAAAAGTTGCTTTCAGCAACCAGAAGTAACATAGAGTGGTTTGGACTAGGAGGGACTTTTAAAGGTCATCTTGTTCCAAACCCACTACCATGGACAGGGACACTTTTCTGCAAGACCAGGTTGCTCAAAGCCCCATCCAGCCTGGCCTTGAGCACTTCCAGCATTGGGACATCCACAGCTTTTCTGGGCAACCTGTGCCAGTGCCTTACCACCCTCATGATAAAGAATTCCTTCTTTATATATAATCTAAACCTTCGCTCAGTTTGAAAATATTGCTTCTTGTCCTGTCACTGCAGGCCTTACCAGAAAGCCTCTTTCTATCTTTGTAATGACTCCACTTTAGATATTGAAATGCTGCAGGAGGATCCCCTTGGAGCCCTCTCTTCTCCAGGCTGCAGAGAACAATCCCAGCTGTCCCATCCTGGCTTCACAGAGAGGGGTTCCAACACTAATTATTGTTGTGGCTCTTCTTTGGACAGACTTGAACAGGTCCGTGTCTGCCTTGTGCCAGGGAGCCCAGAAATGGATGCAGAACTCCAGGTGGGGTCATGACATCTCAGTAAAACTCATGTCCCTGCAGGAACAGAGCTATGCTTCCAGAATGACAGGTCCCTCCTAGAACAGTTGCTGGAGGAGTGACCCATAGCCAGAGCACACTATTCCTATCCTTGCTAGTACTTGCTAATACTAATGCTAATAGAAAAACTGGCATGTCTATGAGTATGTAGAACAATAGCTGTATTCACACACAATGTCCTTTTGCAGATTTTCAGTATATTTCATACCTAAAATGAGATATTTTTTTGACTGATTAACAAAGTAAATGAAAAACAGCTACTACATATACCCTGAAAGTGTCTCACCCAAATTAACATGTGTATTGTATATTTTGTAACAGCTGTGGTTAGCAAATGGACAAAACAATGTGAGCAAATAGAAATTAAAAGTACTTTTAAAACATCCATAGTCTCATTGACCACGACACTGAAAACAAAAAGTGCTCTATATATAGTTTTGTATGTCTCTACATAGATGATAGAATATATGACACAAAACCCTTGGGCCCTGAAATTAGTGGCACACATGTTAAATTTTTAGCATCTAAGTATCATCCTTTGATATGTGTAGCTCTAGTTACATTTTTATACTTCAGCTTGTGCTCACATATTTTGTGGAATGTGTCTATAAGTGATTGTTTGAAAATGTCCTCAATTTCATTTTCTTACATCTTCATTAAGTGTTTTATCTGTAGTATCTCTTTTCATACATCATCAGTAACTGCTGCTAAGCCTCTTTGCTCTCCACTCTCTCTGATGTCCTATCACTCTTTGATTGTTAGTTCAGAAAATATCTTCTCAGAGGAAATTCAGTTTTAGTCTTCCCTTGCTGTTATCTGGGCTCCCTCACATCTGTCTGCATCAGGTCGAGTCTGTTTGGAAAATAACAGTTTTGTGTGTGCTTTTGGCAAGCAGAATCAAACTCTGTCACTCTCTGTTGCACTTAACACACTTTCTGCCTGTCAGACCTCCACAGACCTCTTTGGTTTCTTTTCTTGTATCTGAGGGGTGCATGGGTTTTTGTTATTATAGCCTGCCACTTCTCTGACATTAAAAGGTTTGGTCACTGCAGCATCACAAAATAATCCATTGTTCTTGGGCTTTGTGGTGCAGCATGCTCCTGAATTCCAGGATTCATTTATTGTACTCATGACCTATTTTTGCAGGACATTTTTAATATTTGACACCACCATTAGTTAATTAGCCTATCAATTAACCAATAGGCAGGTCACTATTGATTTACTACTTAACAATTTTAAACACAGCAATGCTTTCTTGGACATGGATTTTAAAAAGGCTACCATAGTGCTACACATTTTATGTGAATTTACAGAAATTCAGCTTTGCTAACTGAGTAAAGTCAGGGCCATTCTCACAGGTTCACTGGGCTTTTTTTAACATATACCTGTTGGTTAAAAGCACATTTCAGGTATTTTGCGGTGGGTATGGTGCCTCTACTATATCAATGCTGTCCACACAGCACCATGCAATGCCATGCAGCAGCTCAGGTCCCAAAAGCACTCTGGTAGCTCTGCACCTCACCTGGGTTTGGTAGCTCATTTAGCAGGATTGCCCTGCTCCTGAAGTAAAATATTTGCTGCTGGGTCTTCCCTTTGCCTCCTGCTCCATTGCACCATGCAGAATGACCCTGGGACATTTTAGAAGTACAGAAAGCCACCATCTCCATCTGAAACCTTGAAAGAAACAGAATTGCAGTACTTTGAAAAAAAAAATTGACCTGAGCAATAGCTTTTGAAATTGATGGGTAGCTGATTGATGCTTGATTCATGCTTCAGAAAAAATAAAAGAAAATATAAGCAAAAAAGCAAATAAGATTTATCCTTCCTTCTCTAATTTGCTCTTTATATTTTAGTTATGTCAAGATTTCTATATTTCTTTCATGTGGTTTTTCTAGTATCTGGTTTTCTGACTGCATTTTTATTATGTTGTTATCACCTTCTTCTTCTGTAGTAGTGCTAATCCATAGTTAGAAGGTACCATTGGGCCAACACTGGTCTAGCAACTGACTCAGTGTTAAATCTGAGTATATGTTAGCTCTGCTCTTGAATCTTAAATATTTCTAACCTTTTAAAGCCCTTACTTTAATCTACTAGAGTGAATTACTTTACATCAGCTATTTTTAGGCCATTACAACTGCTGATTTATTTTAAGGTTTTAATTGACAAAATTACATGGTGCCAGTCTTGTTCTGAACAGCTCTTGAAGCCCAGGTCTGACTTTAGCCATATCTACTGAGACTTACATATATGCAGTCCAAAATTAAGACTTGGTTTGGCAAATATCAAACTAGACACTGATTTGCAACAAGTCAAGTAAAACAAAAATAACAAAACCAGCCACAATCAATTCAATCACAGGAAAAAAAACCAAACATTAGTTTTCAAAAGAATTTACTGTGGAGCCTTTGCATTTGTAGAGAATATGTATTATTTTGTTTACAGGAGCAAAGCTTCATGGGGCAAGCCACAAATGAGATCCTAACTAGCTCTGATAGTGTTGTGTTGTACCAAACTGTCAGATAAATTTTGGGGTTTGTGTTGTGAAAGGACACAATTAGTGGGTCTTTAAGCTTTAGATGAATATTGCTCTTCTGTGCCAAGCTCTGTCAAATGAATTTTGGTTTTCCTGTTGAGAAAGGACGTATTAAGCGGGTCTTTAAACTTTAGGTGGACAAAGAGTATCAAATGTGCACCACTCACTAGCCCCCTACATTTGTTTTTAGGTTCAATGGTAAATGGATGGGGTTCTGCGTCTGATGAGGACCGTAACTTTTCTAGTCATAGATCTAGTGTAGGTAGCTCCTCAGATGACTCCATCTTTACCAGCGGCACTTTTGCACAAGCACTGGTTGCAGCAGCAGATAAAGCTGGGTTTAGGCTGGATGGAACCAGCCTGACAAGAACAGGTTTGTAGACTCAAAGGTGATGCTCTCTGCATGAAGGGTGTCTCTGCCTATCGTTCTCTCAGCGAAACTGTGTCTCACACTTGTCTAACGTGCATGGGGTAAGGTGGATGGAGATGCTTTTATTGGTGTTTTTTAGATGAAACCTTACATTATGTTTCATTTTTAGCGATTTGAAGTAGTGAATAGCACAAGCTTTTAATATGCACCTTTGGTCTGCTGCGGTTTCCCTCAGTGCTGACTCTGCTCTGGATATCCTCATTTAATATTTAACTGAAGAGATTACTAATTCTGCCTTGCAGCCTTTGATGATTTCTGTTTCTGAAAATTCTCCTCACAATCATTCACTTTTCCAGTGATGAACATCACTTTTAAACTATTATCTCCATCCCTGCTCTTCTGTTGCATTTCATCTTGCAAAAGTGTGTTTTTCTGTGGAGTTTTGCTGAGCATGGGGTGAATTGGTGTGCTTTGATTGTTAACAATACAAACTGTTTAAAGCTTAATTAATAGCTGATTTTAAAAATCCTTAATTCAAAAGTTAATATATTTTGATAGCATTTAATTTTGGTTATGCCAACTGAATCTGCCAAGTAAAATGTAACACAGGTAAAGTGGATATATTTGAAAACAGCCAATCTTCTGAAATTAATTAATCAAAACTAAATATACTTTAGTTCTTATTTTTAAAGCTCCATATGTTTTATTTATATTAAAAATATAAAAAAATATTATCTTTATTCTTGTAAAAAAACGATACATTTGCATTTCCTTAGTCTTATCAAAATAGCAACAATAACTAATTATTTAAGTCCACGAATCTAATAGCAGAGTATGAACTTGGGTCATATTTTTTGTTATGCCTCCTCAGCTAATTCTGGATAACAGGTCCCTCCCATAATATTCTTATCATTTAAATTTTTTAGACTATTAGTCTGGTATGAAGTCTCTCCTTTAGTACAATGTATGCATTTAATAAAAAATCTCACATGTTGGGGATGAAAACTGTAGGCTTTCTGCATGCAATCACTTCATGGCAAGGACTGCCTTTTAGGAACATTAGGAATAAAGGAAAGAGTTGGTGGCAAAGTCCTAAAATCCAGCTTTTTTCAGATCACTGTGACTTTTACCACTGGCTTTGGTTAGACAGAGTCATCCTTCAAAGATTTTTTCACCACAGCTGAAGCCCTCAGTTGTTTCCTTCTATTAATGGAAAGCAGAGTAAATGTGTCTTATCACTAAAAAAAAAAAGAAAAAAAAAGAAAGCAAAGCAAAACAAGAAAACTCATGTACACCTTAACTTACCTAGTATGGCCTTAATTTATCTAGTATGGATACATCTGGGCAAGTTATAACTTAAAATATACTGAAGAGTCTCACAGGTTCTGAATGAAAGGAGCAAATATTTTCCAACCTTTTTTTTTTTTTTCTGGTGGTGTTTGCTCCAGTTAAAGTTAATGCAAAATTACGGTCACTTACATCAAACCTTTGAGAAGTGCAATTTCCACCACAAACACGCTCCTAACAGAAGTAAATAACCTTAGAATAAATATGATTTTTTTTATTGTAGCTATGCGAATGGAAACTACAAGAAAAGGATGAGAGCCCCATTGTCAGTATTTTCCTATCTTGATTAGGTCACAAATGCACTTAAAATGAGGATGTGTGTAATTCCTCAGACAGACCATTAGAACATAGGGTACAAAAAAGGATCCAGCAGTTGTGGTAGAGACTTTATGATTATTACCCTCTTACTCTCTTAATGACCCAGCAGGCAAAATGGAAATAAAATGAAAGCCCACATGCAAACAAACAGCCCTCCCTTCTTTTCCTCACAGAAACCTCAGCGAATGGAAGCACTGCCCCTGCTCGCTGCAGTGCCATTAGGATGTGTCACCTGGCAGGGCAGGGTGGCGTGGTCAGACATCCCCGTTACAGCCCTGCAGCCCCCAGAGTGCAGCACGGTGTCTGGCAGTGCAGAAACAGCAGTGTTACCCTGCTCATTGCTCTGGAGGGAGCCTGATGGTCCTGACTCTGTATTCATCTGCAGTCTGGACAGTTATTTTCACCCATTTAGAGCAGCTGTGAAATGCTCTCAGCAGTAGATACTAAAGGAGATGTCCAGCTTGATAGCCTCATGTGGGAATGTTTGATTGCCAAGCGTGAGAGGCACTGGTGAATCCAGATGCAATGTGTCTCTCCCTGCCAGACACTTTGATTCCAGTTTCCAGAAGCCATCATGTGATTTGCCATGAAGTTCAAACAGCTTTCCTTTTTAACACTCTTGGGAAATTAAATCAAGAATTAGTGGATTCATCCTTGTCTCCACTTAAACACACTAAATCTGCTGCAGAAAGTCTGACACTGCTCAGCAGTACTTACTGGAAGGGCTGCATACAAATACAAGATGGTGTAATCAGTTGTTAAGTGCATTGAAAAATGTGCTGTGGGAGTCTGCACATCATTTGTGATTGCCCCATGTATGATTTAGGTCAGTGCTATTTATTTTCCCTCATTTTCGTAAAGCGATAAAAGAGAATGTTTGGTTCTATTTCTTTTTTAAACCAGCATTCTGAATGAATAATCATATTTCTTTAGTCAAAAGAATAAGTGTGAAGAATCTGCATCCTGCACTCACTAGTTGCACTTGCATGTTGTGAGTTTATTTTTGCAAAACATCTGTGCAGCGTGCCGTGAGCTGGGATGGAATTTCAGACTCACATCCGAATTTCTTTGTATTAGGAGTCTTTTTCTTATTTTTATTTTTAAATGAAATTTTAATATTTTGCCTGTGTTCATCTGCTGTGTTATCCTTATCCACGAAACAAGGGCTTGATCACTTGTCTTTGTCTGGCTACAGCTGTGCCAGCTATAGAGGTTAATGTCCCCAGTGCTTAGTCCTTGCTTTCTCCCAGCTCCAGAATTAGCTACTTGGGTAGGTGCTCTGTAACCCAATTTCAGTTAAAAATGAGCTAGGTTAGCGAAGGCATTGTTTTCAGACCATATAAATTAAATTGGGCTATTTTGTTTGGTTGGTTGGTTGTTGCTGGTTTTTTGGGGTTTTTCTTTTTGGTTTTTTGGGGTTTTTTTTTTGCTTTTTTGTTTATGTTTTTGTAGAGGAGGGTTAGGGAATGTCTGATAGCTGGCAGGGATGTGCAGCTGAGGACAAGCCTGCCTGAGAGCAGTGCCCTCCCCAGGGTGCACAACAATCAGAAGGCAGAAGATCAAGCCAGAGACAGTCACAAAATCTCTGAAGTCAAATAGTGAAATATTACCCTAACATGTATGTATTAATGTGAAGTAACATGTTAGAGAGATTATGGTTACTTTTTCCCTTTGCCCTCTTAGCACTGAGAATGTTTCCAACAGGATGCTGAGCTGCATATTACTCCCAATTAGGCTTTTCTAGATCAGGTTGTATGTGACAGCATGGTGGAAGTAAGCACACCTGTTAAAAGGTTTTACTAGAAAACGTAACTCATTGCAGGGCAGACCATGGCTTAGATCAACCAGAGGATAAAAAGACCTCCTTCCTATCATGGGTCCAGTTGACCAGAAAAATTGTAATCATCCATTTTGCCACTTTCTATCATCTCTTACATTATTTGGGCCTAGAGCAGCACTGAAAGAGCAGAGTTTTGGACTGGCTTATGCATTTTTTCACTGCAGATAGCATTAAAATATGTAAGAACTTTAATTACCAATTCTGAATTAAGATGCTAACATCCCCAAAATTTTGCAGAAACGACATATACGTGAACAAAAGAAAGTCAAAGATGGTGATTTTTAGTTTTCATCAGTTATCATTAAATATTAAGTCTAGTTAACAGAATAAAAATATCAGAATAAGAGGAAGTGAATATAGTAAATGAACTGTGCTCTTTAAATTCCAAGGCTTTTAATCATCTGCTCTATAGAACAGCATCAAAGATATTTCTTTAAGAGAAATCATATAGCTTGAATAGTGTGTATATATATATATATATATATATATATATACACAACAGATATTAAAAAATATATAAATAAATCAATAAATCTGAGGTCAGAATATATACTTTTTAACAAATAAAAGTGCTAAAAATTAACTGGAAAATTTTAGCATTTAAATATACCCCCATTTTTTATTTCTTGAGAAAAGAGAGCCCTTAAATATGCAGTGCTACAATGCTACATAGCTTGCAAAATCAGTTATGTTTATCTCGCTGGAGTTACTCCAGATATACAGTGCATATGGGAGCCCCTAAAATGAGAATCTGGCTCAGAAAACATGAAAGTGGAAGGCAGGAGGAGATAAATTTGATATGATTGCAGAACTGTTTTCCTTCCCTGTTCAAGGCTGAGGAGTTGTTATGACACATCTGTTCAGTACACAGAGCAGGTAGGAGTTGCATGACATACAGTAGTTTTATCACAACAGATGGAATAATTTTAATTATAAAAGTTAAAGACAAAAGAATGCCAAGTTTCTCTTTTTGTGGTGTGTCTTAAAGCAGTTGTTATTGGTACTTTGAGGGGACACTTGCCTGCCTCTGAGAATTAGACCTGATTTATTGTTTTGGAGCAGACATTAATAGAGCGATAACATTTTTTCATCTGGTTTCTCTCTCTGTTTTGTTTTGGTTTTGTTTTTTTTTTCTCTTCTTTAGGCAAAGCATATTCTTCCTCTCAGAGACCTCGGCCAGGCAGTCCTTTTTCCACTGACAGCAACACCAGTGCAGCTGCCAACCAGGGTCAGAGGCCGAGGCCCACGAAGAAACACAAGGGCGGACGTTTGGAGCAGCCCCCTTTGCCTCATCGCCGGGAGGGAATCACGGACGGTGAGTGCTGGGGAAGCACAGCCTGCAGCAGGCAGGTGTGCACAGCAGCAGAAGGCAGAGCCATCTCTTCAGGAATGTAGGTTACAGTCAGTCACTGCTCTGGTGGAGCTGGGGTGCCCAGGTTGCCGGGTGAGCGGTGTTGTGGGGCTCGGGTGGATGTTTGAGGAGCCTTTCCCCTTTTCTGCTCTGAATATATCATCATCTCTTAGGGTTTCTCAGATCTCGATATAAATCTTACCCCAAAATAACTGTGTTGCATATGAGTTGACATTGAAAAATGGCCTGTGAGTGAGTTTACATTTTATGAAAGTAGCCACCACTAGCAGTAGCTCTACGTCATGAATTCCTAAGGAAAAGCAGAGAGCTGCTCCCGCAGGACTTGTTTGGTTTGTGCTGGCTTTGACAGACACCCAACAGCTACAGCAACATGTGCCATGTTTTCCCATGATTCTGCCTCACCTCTTGTCTGTGCTGCTTCAGTCCTGACATCCACTGACCTCAGTGACTGTGTCTCCCTCTTTTACATCTCCACTTCTCTCTTACAACTACTTCCCATCTGGAAATTTCAGTTCAGTTCGAATGTCTGTTCTGCTCTTCTAATAATTAAGATCAGCTCTGTCTTCCATTTACCTTGTCTACCCTTCTTGAGTCTGGCAAAAGACACAGTTAGTGCCTGTTAGTTTTTGAGGAAGACTGGATAGGAAGGTGGCCAGCCGACTATCTTCCCCTCATTTCTTCTGACCCCTGGCCTTGAACCTGTAGGTGTTGAAATGATCAGTGTTCACCAAAGGGATTATTGTTACATCTCCTGCTCTATGGCTCATTCTGTCTCATTCTCACTGTGATATTATTTGTAGAAACAGCTTGAAATAGCTTACATTCCGCTCCTATGGATCCTAGTTCCTTTAAACATTAATTCCCTCCCCTTGTGGATATATTACAGAGGCCTCTCTTATTACACAGAGCCATGGAATAGATTTGTCTATGAGAACAGTAACTGGAAAATTATGGATGGCACTTGTAGTGCTGGCCATACTCTTGCTGAACATGTTTTGTTAACTCTTCTGAGTGCCATATCCTGTCACTCTGAACTGTGAGCATCTTAGGCCACAAATTCTGTGTCCATGTGAGTTTATAGCGCACTCAGTATGGTGGACACTAATCCTTCTGCTTCTGCACAGAATTGCAGACAGAAGTGCTACAGAATTGTTTTCCTTGTGCTACAGAAGTGTTTTACAATAGTGTGGGTGCCAGAAAATTAATGGGGATCCAGTTCAGGCCATGAGACAGATGGAAGTGGGGCTCCTCACAGAGTGACTCCATCATAAAATTTAGCATTGCTCTAAATTAGTGAAAGAGATCCAATTTTAAGATTCACTTTGAAGGAGAAAACTCTTTCTGGCCTTTTATTTATCCTTTATAAAACACTAAACTCACTGGAGTTTCTTTCATATATTTAAATCAGAATACCAGTGATATACTATTTCCTTCAACCTCTCAGACATGGGCAATAACCATAACAGCTTTCGGATGCCATTAGATTAATATTTGTCTTTTATAAACCTAGTTAAAGTCCTTGCTATATGTTGCAAAAAATTTATAATGTCCTGGAGCAATAGAGGAACAGTTCCCATCCTGTATTAACACAGGAACAAATAAACAAACACAAATGGTACAGTTTTCCACTTCAACTCCTACTGAATATGAGTCATTAAAGTGTAATGTCAAGTCTGAGTCATAGTTAAATTTGCTAAAGATCATTTGTCAATTAAGGAAGATAAAAGTTGCTGCTGCCACCTGCATGTATGTAAACAATTGAATTTAGGAATCTCTGGTCTGCAGAAATTAAACATGCTAACTAGGTGCTTTCTGTGGAATATTGCAATGAGCTTTACAAAGACAGACAATAAATACCACCATGCTTAAGCTATAGCTAGAAAGAGCTAGTAGGAGAGCCTCAGATAAGTCTAGCAATTCCAAGCCCTAATCCAGGCCAGTCCATTCAGCCCTGGGCCATCCTGATTTCTGTGAAAAGCATCACTGTACATTTTCTCTGGTTTTTCTGATGTCTCCAGTCCATTCCCTTATAACTGCTTCCTCTTGGATTTGTCTTGTGAGAATAGACTCGGTTTGCCAGTTGTTTTCAAATTCCCCAGTTGGATGAGTCCTGGTATCCTGTGTTTGTCTCATCACATACCGGATGTCTGTCATTTTCAATTTTCATTGACCAAGAAAGCTCCAGCTTTCTCTGCCCATTCCCATACACATCCTGAATGCTTCCTCCTTGTTAACTGTAACCATGTGGGACAGTGCAAAAGACCTAAGAAACTGTAATATTTAACACATAGCACACACATCTCAGACCGTGTAAGCATTTGAGGGTTCAACTTCATGCTTAGTTTTGACAGCAATCCACACAAATCCCCTAAAACCCTGCTTCTTCATTTCCTTCAGCTGCAGGTCAGAAGCCTCTAGAGACAGACTCTAGATGGAGTTTTCATATTTGTCTTGCTGTACAACCTTTTTTTTCACTTCCACATCCTGAAAGACTGTGGAGACATCAGCTAATCCACAGCGGAAGAATATGTTATGAATCCCTCAGATGGCCAAAACTTTCATTCCGAGCTCACAGTCCACCATTTAAAAAAAACAACAAAAAAACCCAAAACAAACAAACAAAAAAACAAACAAAAAACCAAAAAACAAAACAAACAAAAAACCAACAAAAACAACAACAACAACAAAAAAAACCACACACACACCAAAAAAAAAAAAAAAAAAAAAAAAAAAAAAAAAAAACCAAACAGGAGGGATTTAGTGTTAGTACTCAAGGAATAATTTGTTTTCCTAGAAACAATGTAGTCATGAATTGCAAAACAGTGGATTCTGTCATATAGTTTGCAGCATGGTAACTCTGTGACTGAAGTTAAAAGCCCTTCCTGAGCTTAGCACAACATGCAAAAAAAAGCCAAAAAGGAGGTAGAAAGGAAATATGCTTAATGTTTGAAAAGGAGAATTGGAGGACTTGTTACCATGCCTTGCTACTAACTTCCTACTTTGATACTATGTATTAAAAATAACTTTTAATGTCGAGAAAATACTTACCTTATGATGCTAGAAAGTGTTTCAGAGGCTTATTAAATGTCACATTAATTATCACCCCTAGGAGAAGAAATCACTGACACAGGTAGAAAGGTGTGTCCCTGTAGTTGTAGGTTCCTTAACTTGCTGCTTTTTCCAGTTAATAATTAGAGGCTGTGCCAAACCTTGGCTGGTGCTTGAATCATTTAGCTAATGCTCTGTCTTCTAAAGAAGGGCTGGAGTAATCCCAGACTGAATATCCATCTCTCCCTTATCAGGCACTCTGATGTCCTACAGCTCCTCAATCACGATCTCTCCATTACTAAATCAATAAGACCATCACCTCCCCACCAATGCACTTATGAATTGCCTTGCAGGTTTGATAATCCTGCCATTAAAGGCTTCAAAATGAAAGTCTGGTGACATTCTACTGACCTAGAAAGTTCCTAGCTCAGTGCAGGTTTTCAGGTATTTTCCCTACCACCTGGACAATAAATGGGATTTAGATGGAAGTAGTGTGAATCAGTGTTACCACTCTGTGTATCCTCACTGAAAATCCCACTGAAGTCCCTACATTTCTAAATTCAGAACTTCTCTGAAGGGACTGACATGATGCAATGATTGACATAATTGCCTTTATGTGGTAATAAGTCTTCCTGTGAGGATCTGAGACTTCTAACTCGGCTGACATCTGTTGTCCCTTTAGCAGGGGTAGGAAAGCCAAGGCAAGGCCAGACTAATCTCAGTGGTGTTGGAGGAAGAAATTCATGACTCCACCAGATACATGGGTTCTTTCTATCAACCCAGGCAAGAGAGCAGAAAATATTTAGTTATTTACTAAGGCACAAGATTTACAATGCAGGTTGTAAATTGTAGGGCAAATCAAAAGCCACATTTCCAAATGAAGCTCTTTTCCAGCATCTTTTATTAAAAAGGACAGGTAGGTGTTGCTGTGGCTGTCAACCTGAGTAAGGAGGTGAAAAAACAAACAGTTTAGTCAGGTGCTGTTTGGCTACAATTAGTAACTGTTCTTACAGATCTTCTCTGACACATGTAACACAGTTCAGTAAATTTGTACTCAGGCCAGAGCCAGTTGATGTTAATTCCGAAGTACCTGTAGTTCTTCTAGAATTCTGTGAAGCTTCATTACAAGATAAATTTTATTTTTCTCTTCAACTCATCCATAGGTTGAAAGCACCCAGGGAAATTTGTGAACATGGTGTTTCATTTCACTTCTATGCATAAGTCAGTCTTTATGCTTGTTTTGTGGATGGATAAAAGCAATAATCAGGTTAAAAGTAGATCAACGCCATAACTCTACAGTAATTCCAGGAGTTGCAGCCAGCTCTAGAACATGCAGTATAGTTTAAGTACAAGCCTTCTTTCCTTTTAAGTATCTAATTAATAACAACTATTAGACAGCAATTTCTGAAGTAGGGTAGTCTGTTTAAAGTTTAATACTGCAATAATTTTAACTAATTTTTTTTCTATGCTACCACTTGAAAATTTTGCTTATATTGAATGGTAAATATTGTATCTGGGAAATTGCATAGTCCAATGTCATGTTATGCCTGTGTTTATTGGATTCAATGCATCTCCACAAAGTGCTTGTAAATCACAACTTCAGTAATCTCTATTTCAGATTGCATAAGCAGATGCCAGTGTTGTGGTTCTGTACATTAACTGGTTATGATCGCAATAAAATCAATTATAAGAAATGCCATTTTGGAAGCCAGCACTATAAAGCAATTTTAACATTGGCAAGCTCCCATACCCTCCTGCTTCCACCTCCAGTAACTCAAGTGTAGTCATTGTCATGAAAGGTCGCATCTATATTCATAACGAAAAATTTCTCAAATAAATTAGTGCTGAACATAAAGCAGGCACCAGGCTCACTGACAGATTATTAAAAGGCTGCT